TTTTAGAGCAACACCTGATAAGGATTATCAAAAGGTTGATCTAATGATGCAATGTTCGTCAGGTCACCCTGTATAGAGGTCTGTCTCTGGGACTGCCTGTTATTGTAGAGGAAAATTCGAAGATGAACGTTTTCAATAAGTTTATTTAGATTAACTTACTGCCTATCTATGAACCGTATTTAATTGGCAAAAAAGTATTCAACTACGCCTATGGACAGACAGGTAGGTATAAATGCATACAATCATAGAAGCGCACGTATATTTTTCGTAGCGTGTCCACCATTGTGCGCTTTTCAATTAAAAAGTTCCAAACGAATTATTTTTAACGGTATATTTATACATCACATACACTGTTCTTGAGAATAATAAAACTGTGTCTGACTCAAAACAATTATAGAGTTGGTCTACGTTAATAAGCATAGCAGATCAGCAGCAGATCAAATAGTTATGCAATAATTTTACATCTCCAAAATTTAGGGCTGTAGCAGGCTCCAAACAAAAAAAAGGCTCCTATTTTTTTAAAAAAAGCTATGTTCTGCTAGCATACATCCCAACTGAACAATGTTTCCCATAACCAGGAATTAAAAGCTTAAGTATTAAGTTAGTAGTGATTTTTGTAATAACATTTTTAGCCAGCAATTAAGAGCTAATGAAGGACTCGATGATGAGCTAAAAAAGATGAGTTAAAGTTTATTTTGAAAATCGAAGTTATGCTAGATAAAAAAATGTGAAAAGTTTGGCAGATATCTGAAAGTTTTGAATGGAGTCTTTCTAATGACAAAATACATAAAAAGATACAGCCTGATATGCATTGTTCTTTTAAACAATGGGAAAAGCCCTAAATTCAGTATTTTGCTTGTATAATTTTCAAATTAAATTTTACACACATATTAAGAGCAATGATGCCCTCATTCTCACAAAGTTTTGGACATTTACAATTGTTACTGCAATAGTTAAATAAAATTGAAGATCTTTTTATGCTCTAAGATCTTCAGTTTACCGATTATTTATAAAATTTAATTTGAAAATTATACAAGCAAAATACTGAATTTTGAGCTTTTCCCATTGTTTATAAAAAAGCAGCGCATATATCTGGCTGTATCTTTTCATGTATTCATCATTTAAAACTTTCAGATATCTGCTAAGCTTTTTTACATAAAATTCCTATTTTTTCTCTATAGCCTAGGTTATAGCTCAATGTTAAGTTAATGGAGCATTAAGCTACGGATGAAATGATCGATATTTTCCATAAAGGCCTTATCCAAGAATGGTCAAAAAAAGTTAAGTATAATTATTGTGTGTAAAATGTTCTGCTAGGTTCTCCTTGAATTATCAACACATGATGCTACAGCCAAAACGAGCGATATTTCCCAAGCATTTTTAATAATGAATTAAGGGGTTATTAATGGTCTTACAGATGGGCTAAATGAAAAAACCTTCTTCTGCTAGGTTAATATTAATTTAGTAGAACATGCTAGCTGCAAACCAAGTGACCTATTTTTTAGTCAGGAATTAATTGCTGAAAAGAATGGACTTAAGAAAAAAGTAAAACATACATTTTTCTAAAAATCAATGTTCTAGTAGGTGACCAAAAGTTACTAGCACATAGTACATAGCTAATCAAGTGGTAAAGGAGGGACTAGGGAATGAAAAGAAGGTGGAAACAATGCTCGTTATGGACATCTGTAACAGTTATTGTTAATTATTTTGTCCTACCTGCTAGAAAATGTTTAATTAAACAAATTGTAATCTGAGGAGAAACATAATGTATTTTAATTTTGTACAGATTTGGCCACAATAACTTTATGTTTTGCAAGGATTCATAGAAATTATAAATTCCAATCTTTAACAATGATGCAACTCATTTGATTTCCACTTTCACTTGTAAGAAGACTATTCACAGATTATTTAATGGTGGATACTGCTGCTGCTAAATTCAGAATCAGCAATAGAGCAATACCAAACTTTTTGTAAAAATCTCATCATTTAACAAATTTTTAACCATAAGATTTTTGTATATATGATCAAATGACCTTTGACTGAATCATATTTATTTGCATTTTGTAAAAGGTTTTATTCTGTCTGTCAGATTAATTTACTACATTTGCACTGCTGACTCATCAGACATAATTAGCTGCTACAGTTAAGCATATATAACCAAGGAAATGTTATAATATCACATAAATGTATTATACTTTTAAGATTATTTTCCATTCCTAACCATAAACTTAGTATATATCTAGGAAAGATAACACAAACTTATAGAGGATATAATAAAACATTCAAAATATAATTGGTATAAATCCAAATTGCAAATTGTACATTTTATAAGGATAAGGTGATGATAGAATACTCAGATGTTCTACAACTTCATTGGACACTGAACACATCAATAAAGAAGAGATCTTTTTATATCTCTTTGAAAAAGGCTATTACTGTAAAGTAGAAATTGTAGGGCAAAGTATGAATCAGTATGAATATCTAAGGCAAGTTGAGGAACAAGCAACTTCATCCAGAGGAATTGTATTTCTTTAAGGGAGTCCATCCACATATGATAAAGGACCCCATTATGGACATATAACTTTTTATACCCTTTGATGGTTTTCCCTGACAAACCCTTAGGCATAGCATTAGGAGCCCCACAAGACTTTTGTTCATTGAAAATATATAATCTAACTAAAATTGTGATAAATACTATTTAATAAAGCGGGTACCTCCAAAACTTCACTTTATTTTTTAAACCTCAGATTCATTTTGGTTATCATTGCTATAAGTCTTTGCAACAGACAATTTCTGATAGTCTGGAACAACCATTTACAGTGGCATCCAGATCAATGGCTAGACAACACTGTGTTATTTTAATTTGTTTGCATGATTGTATGTGACAGTCAGAAATGCTTTGAGAGAAATAACTGTATATTTAATTGGCTTCGACAATCACTAAATTTATATTGAATAAAATATTTATATATACGATTTAGATTATCTTAAATATGAAGTGTGTAATATTGATTGATTGTACACTGAGGTGTACACTTATAACATCAGTGGGTCTAGCATCATATACTCTCAATTCTTGACAAGATAAGAGACATTTTCCTTTGTTTAAATCAAGAAAGACAAATCTGAGTCTTGACATAATCCCACCCATTTGAAGGATTAGCTCATACTGCATAAATTACTGATGTAATTGTAGTTAATGTTGGCTGTAGGATGTATAACTGGATGAATTTTTCATCAGGGCAACACCTATTTTGAGGCAAATAACTTGTACAGAGGGACCTGAGGATATGGCTAACAGGGCCCCAGATTAGAAAAAACTTGTGTCTTGAGAATCACTGAGAGTCCCAACCAGTATTCTATTGATGTAAATAATATAGATGTACAAGATGTTTCCTAATTGAATGTCTATATTTAAGAAGGCCATTATTGAGCCCATTTTAAGAACTTCATATGAAGATATATGTCCTAAAAACCTCAATTTTTGAAATACAGACTAGTAATGTTTTCAAAATTAAATCATTTATTATTAATATTCTGTAAATGCCACTTTAGATATTTTAATGAAATCTGGCAACCCTACATGTACTTGTACTATGTATCAAGAGGCATTTTTTAGTGTTCCACATTTTTTTTAATTTCTAACAGTGGTGGTTGTATGGAATGCCTATTTTAGTAGACAGTGATGATATGCCACTTATTCCTCTTGAAATAAAAATTATTCTTGAATCTAAACAAATTTGATCACTTAATTTTTTTTTCTGATGCATGGTTTTCACTTAAAAAAATAAAAACTTTCTCTGCATGATCATAACAATATAATGTGACTGCATCAGCAGTGACTTTCTATATTGAAATAGTACTCTGCATCTGAAAAGTTAAGATGTTTAGGGCATATATTCTGACCTGAAAATAGCCAACATAAATATTGACAGTAGGACATATCCTGTATATAATAAAGGATCAATATCCTTATGGTATAAAATATATAGAAAGCTAAGTAGTAGGTAGTTAATGTAATGTCTGAAACTTATCCTATGGATTACATATCTATAATCCCATATGCTAATTTGGAAAATAAAACCACATGTATTGATAGATTATCTATACTGCAGTAAATGTTTCAATCACAAAGGTGATCTTCTTCAGTATAATAACATATATTTGAATTATGTGTTTTCCAGGTGACAGTTCCTTTGTTTTTTCTTTTCATTATCACATTTCAACACAGTATGTTACTAAAATAGTATGAGAGTCATGTAACATGCAGATATTGAGAGCCAGCCAGTCCTGGGCTATGGTGGTTTTGCCTGGTACCATCTTAAAATTTGGAATGATAACTTTGAACAATATCAGCATGTTACGGGACTTTCAGATTGTTGTGTAACACAATATAGGAATATGATAATGAAAACAAAAAACAAACAAGCTGTCACCTGGAAGACAGAGACATCAAATGTATGTCATTGTACTGAAGATCAACTTTGTGATTGAAACATTCTACACTAAAAAAGTCAATGTGGTTTGATTGGCCAGAGAATCATGGGGCAGGATAGTAGGTGGGTACTCTTGCAATATCTGCATTTGTGTAAAATTAGTAAAGAAAACAAAGAGAAATCTCAAAATCGCAGATACGACAGAGCAGAAAATCGATCATGACTTCCAATTAGTTCAGATTACTGAAAACAAAGAAAAATCAGCAAAAATGTTTTTCCAATGAATGCAATCACATCGTATTTATTTTGGTGGATGTGACTGCATCGTGATACCTGGAAAAGCGCCAAGTCAAAATAAAACGTTCAAGGCAACATCGCTAAGCACTTCTCCGGAAGACATGTGCGTTCAATCTCATTTTATCAGATTTTAATGGACAAAAACGATCTTACCGGAGGAATGACTCAATCGCTCCGTGTGACGTAAACCGATCGCAAGATCGAGTGTCGAGTGATCTACGAATAAAAACAAATGCCTTACCAGCAGTCTACCGAGATAAAACTTACCGCAATGGAAATGCAGTTATCATCTCCACCCTGTGGAAACTTGACGACGAATTTGCTACCAGCCTTTTCTTCAGAATCGTTGAGGGGCCGAAAACGGCACACCACCTTGATGCTGTCCTCAGCAGGCAGTTCTCGTTCCCCCGACATATCCCTAAGTGCACACCCGCACGCACTTATAATAACATATTAGAACGAAATACCGGAGTTCAAATTTTCTACGGAAAGTTTCTGTTTCTACAGTTCTGGCCGCACTGACGTTTCTTTCGCTAAGAATTTGCGGCCATTTTAGTTTTCTCGCCAGTCGCCAGCGCCACTATCCGTGCCGTGGAAAAATCGGTATCGAATCGAAAGTCCGCATTAGATCGTGCAGGTCAGCGCCCCCTATGAGCGACAAGCATAAGCTACACAAACGGAGAGAAAGAAGCCTTTACACGTCACATCTTTGTTCATAAAAAGCTCTCGGGATGGCAGCACTTTTCGTCATAACCAGGACCGTATCCACGGCGCAGAAAGAGATGCAACAGCTATTGTCGGTCACTGATATTTTTTTGTGACCACCTATTTTATTATTATTTCCTATTGAAAAGAGATTATTTCGTGACAATTAATTGCTGGTTGCTCAACACCGCATAATTCGGACATTAATTAATTTTTTAATGTACCTTAGGCCCGTTTCGTCAGTCGTTCGTACAATTGTAGGGCGCCTTTATGGCCTCCTTGATTGTCATAGTTTTCTACTTCTCCGTGTCAGCGCTCTATTTTATGTCACAAACGTCAATTTGCATCAAATTGTGCTTGGTTTTGAGTTACATCATGTTTTATCAGCCTGAAATTTCCTACAATTTAAAAGGAAAACAAATCTTCACAATAGGAGAGCGCTGACGCTGACACGGGACAAGTGTAATCTAGAAATTTTTGAAGGAGAGAAAGGAGTATGACAATCAAGGAGGCCATAAATGCGCCCTACAATTGTAGGGTCGACTGACGATACGGGCCTAAGGTATAATGTTTTACAGAATGCTCCAAGAAAAATCGAAAGGCAAATTCAAGATGTTAAAATATAAACAAAAAGTTTATTTAAACAATAATGGCCAGTAAATGGTTTGTTTCCATAATATTCGTCGATCTTTGAAAGTTCCGCTTACTTTCTCGAACACAGAGTCTGAGATATTGCGAGATGGGTTTTGGTGCTGAAAATATACCCTAACAGGACATCGGTGATTGTTGATTTTTGGAATCGTTCATTTGAACTACTGGTCTTTTATATAAGATACTATGACGTCATATCATAACATATATAATAACGTCAATTGGGTGTGACATTAGACCTTCATAATGACGTTATTTCTTCGACATTTTTGTTGGTCGGCGCTCGTCAGTAGTGCCCTAAAAATGCCGACATTATGACGTCACTATGTTAATTCACGTGTTGTAGTTTTGACTATGAATATAACGTTATCAAATACAGAATAAATCGTACTAAGTGACAAACATTGTAAGGAAATATTTGAACTATTATCTAAACAGCATTATCAGATAGTAAGATATCATTCTCTCGATAACAAGCATACCCAAGGAAAGCATGAAAAAAGTGATCGTATCTGCTTTGACTGTTGCTGTCATTTTACTTATTTTTTCTGATCTGGTAGAATCCCAAAGCACTCCCCTGAGTTTTGAGGATTGGTAAGTTATGCAATCAAATATTTTTCTGTAAAAAAGAATTTACCCATGTTAGGAACACGTGGGTGATACCGAGAATTACCGAGTCGTCGCATCATATTGAAAATTTTTGCGTCATTAATTATTTGTTTATACAATACTATTTGTGTATTGTATTTGGTTGTATTTTTTGACTAATTTATTCTTGATATTAGTTATAAGACCCACCTAAATAATTAGAATTTGATAAAATAGAATGATGGCTTCTCAATTTAAGTTTAATATGGTAAGATACGTATGTGCAGGGCTGTCTTAAGCCTTGTGGGTTGGTATGGGTACACGCGACGCTCGGGGCCCCAGGCCAGAGCGCAATTTGGAGGCTTACTTTGCCGTTGGGGGAAATTGAAGTTTGATTCTGTGCCCATACGGACTGTGAGGCGGGTTGTTTTTCAAAAATCCTTGTTTAATGATCACTGTGCATTAATAAAGTGCTCAAGTGTTACTTAGTTCCTATTTTATTGAGTAAATAGATGAAAAAATACAAATAGCTGCTGGAGCAATGTCTGTGGAACTTACGTTACTTATAAATAAACCATTATAACATATGTTACTATCTGTGTAGCGTAGCTTACTCCTGAAAGGAGGCAGATCTAGAAAATATTCATGGAGGTCCATATATCCGTCTCGGGGGGAGGAGGGGCGGCGTCGACAATTGAAAAATGAAGAGCAAGTGTGGGGTCGTCTGCAAATTTCAAAACACCTTCGAAATTCAAGTCATTTTTAGCTCGTGTACTTCGAGGGGTCTGGACTCCTAGGACAACCCCCTGGATCCGCCCCTGCCCACATCACCCACTTATGGCGAATCCCCAAAGAGGGTAAAACTAGAGGTATAGATTTTTCAAAAAAGAAATAAGCTTACACTGAATAATCTGAATAAATAGTTACGCATGGACGAAATAATGATTTTTACAGTTAATGCTACTTCACTTCCACTACGTATGCGAAAATGTTTGTATTTCAAATAAGTTTCTTATTTTTCGCGATGTATCTATACAACACATATGTACCTATATCTATATCACTAGATTTCCGTCGGTCTGTCTGTCGGCTTGCCTATATGTAGGTGTTATTTTACTCTCATAATCTCGGAAATAGCAGCACCGGTTTGGATAAAATTTGGGAAGTATCATGGTGTGGGGTCATAGTAGACACTACATGATTTTTGGAAATTGTTTATATGACAGCACTATTTTGATTAAAAAACAAAGTAGCTTCGAATCGTTCTCGAAGTTTATTTTTGTATGCTTTTCAACCTTCTAAAAATTTCTGGACGCAATTAATTTTTTTTTGAAAAATTACGAAAATTTGCATTTGTCGTTTCCGATTACTTCAGATTACGGTATAGACAAAAGTATTACATAACGATTTTCAATCCGTACGTAGGGAAAATTTAAAAATAGGCATACGTGGATGTCAACGTTGAAGTATACCGAGTTAATCTAGTTGAACTATTTTTTTCGGAATACTTTTATATTAAATCACCCATAGCTGAAGACTATCTTAGTGTTTCAAGATTTCCTGCCTCCGAAGATAGTACCAAATTTCATAGCAACAGTTGTCTCATACAAGTCTTATAATTTAATTTAATCTCTTCTAATTGCGGTAAGCTTCTTTCATCTGTTACAGTTGTAATCTGGAGGGTCAAAAAATAGGGAGTATGGTATTGTCACCAGCATAAGTTCGAATTTAACGTTCGATACTTAAGCTGGAATCATCGGCTGATACGGCAGTTGTTACGTCATTGATTGTGTTAAATATTTTCTGTACTACAACTTCAATTATAAGGATCTCTATTCATGAGGTATTAAGCCAAATTTGACTCAATCATATTAAATTAACAAATCATGAACGTAGATACTTGAATCTAGATTGAAAGTCCCTCATCAATAAAAAATCAAATACGCTGTTCTATTTCTTTATTTGGTATCGACAGTTTTGACGCAATAGAGCGAACAAGAAATGTAGTATTTTGACGTCAAACTTTGGAGCCACCCCAAAATCTTGAAAATAGATCATACAATTTTTTTTTGTTTAGAGTAAATGGATGAATCAAGTTGAGTCTGCCATCTATCAATTTTTTCAGAAATTTAGGCCTTCTACTCGCGTTTTGGCAAAAATATGAGAATTTTGATCAAACTTCTGCGTATTTCTTTAGTGGTAGCGTACATGCGGGTTATCTATTAGCTACGTACGTGAGTTATATTACAAATACCTATTACCGTAGGTATGAAAAAGTTTTTGGAAAAAAGTATGTGACAACCACAGAGCTTGCTGAAAGCTTCGTTCCCAAAGGAAGATGTTTGGCTTGTGTCAGAACGTGTAGATCTGGCTTTGTAAGAATCAATGGACGATGTTTCCGCCTATTTTCGGATGATTTCGATTAAATCATGGTTGAACCAAGGTAAGAATATGTGATCAAATTGTCGGAACAATGTAGAACACAAAAACATAATGTAAAACAGATCCTATAAAATTTTGATCTGTAATACTGGCTCCACCATTGAAAATGTAGTGTCGACCTGAAATCCCCCGGATATAAATTGTCAGACCATTTGAACAACCTTTTGGTCATTTGGTTCAGTTTTAGAACAGTATTTTATTCTCAAAATCGGAACATTTTAACGACGCCAAACAAGATTTTTTTTCAGCTAAATGACCAGACATTCAAAAAGATCATGGAAAATTGACAATATTGCGTTAATCAGTCTCACAACATTATATGATGGCTTGATAGGTTATTATGCTGCCAAGGACTTGAGCGTTATTGTAACGAAGACACCGTTTTACTGTTCTAATGTATTACTGCTTCACTAAAGTGTAACACTTGCAACAAATTTATAACTCTGTCGACTAGACTATTATTACATCCTAATTCCGCGATCGCTGTAGATTGGCTCGACTGAGACTGTAGACTGGACACTCGACCTCGACTAACTCATTTCGTCATCTGGTCAAATATGTATTCCGCTATTGACGAGTCGAGGAACATTCAAGCGTTTTCAGGAACTTCCATGGCAGTAGTCTGGATGACAGCAGATTCATTTTCAGACGTTTATTTAATATTCACGATGGCGTCGTAAGCACGCTTCATACATGGTCGCGTAACTCTGGTTGCCTAGCGCCTTACGCCTCCCAAGGTCCCAGCTATACGAGGGTGCTACATTATTGAAGTACATAGTTTACTGTAGATTTAGCGATATAAGGAATAACATTATATTGTTAGAAAATAACGTTTTCAAGCGTTTTAGGAGGCTATTATACAGTGGATATATGGCGCTACGAGGCCTACAATGAACTGTTTCAATATTGCTTAAGTGCGTCTTCTTACTTGGTCTCTTAGATCTACAGACCTTTCGCCCACTGAACTTGTGGGAGATATGATGGGAAGAATAGTGACATCTTTACCTCATCATCCACAAACACTAGTAGCTCTTCAGAACCAAGAATAGCTAGCTTGGAGTGAAATACCTCAACAAGACGACTCTCTTTTACTTGTATCTAACTGTATACGAGATTTCATTCAAATCGAATATAATTTTCCTTTTCAGAGACCGTTCCTCGCAGAAGCTTTGTCACCCTAAGCATAATTACAGCTGCTGCAAGTATGGATATTTATTTACCATGTGAATTAAGAATGTATTATTTAATTGTCAAATAAAAACTATTATTTATTTGTATTCACTACTTCTACAATACTTGTAAAAGTTCTAAGTAAAAACTTCTCGACTATTTTCTACATTCTCCTATTTTTACATCGATGAGATGAAGTTACGGAACTATTAAAGCTTAATTATGTTCTATAATACTCGTATTTTTGTAACACAGGTAAATGTACTTCTTATGGGTATGCTGTTATAATTCTGCCTGCATGTCAACTTGTCTACGTTGTTGTTGGTATGTCGTGACTTTCTGTGTTTTCCTGTTTCTTTATACTGGAGTCTTTTTGGGCGTGCCCTGAAAACGAAATTCAAAAATCAAAAATATTTTTTTTACCGTTATACTAACATCATTAGTTGGTTATCAACAACATCAGTGTTCTTAGACTGCTCGACATTTTCATTTTTTATGCAGAACTTACTATCTATTACCTGAATAGTTCCGGTACCCCACGATAGCTTGTGAGCTAATAACGGTATGGAAAAACTAAGCCCCGAGATTGTTAGGAGTTTTCCCCAGCTATTTGACCTACACCACGACCTTAAAGTCTTTTGAAGATCAAATCAATTTTTTAAAATTTTTGACCGCGTAAATGGAAGGAGCGGAAACTTTTACTACGTTCAAATATGTTCCTGACCATTCTTAAATTTTGATCTTAGGAGGTGATGGTCAAGGTCAAACCAAGTCTATCTGGGGATTACACAGTTTACTGAATCATCAAGAAATTAGGGTAAACCAGTGTTTGAACTTGATGCTCAGGCCCAAGGTCAAACTTTTAAAATGGTCAAGGACATATTCCCTTTTCTCCATTTTCGTTCCGATTTTCGCGATCAAAAGTAAAGGGTCCCATTAAAAAAGAAGTGACCTTCAAATGACCCTGAAAATCAAGACCAAGGTCAGATCCACGGTCGGTATTGGATATCTGGGAGAAAATCATGAAAATAATGCCACTGCAGTTTACCTATATGACTACTGGCTTTCTCACTGTGAATGGATTCGACCTTAACCATGACCTTCTGAGGTCAAAGTGTAAGAAAGTCAAGACCTTTGTACGTTTCAGGCTCTATTCATTTACGGGGTCAAAAATGGAGATTCGGTCTAAAAAAGTGGACTTGACCGACAAATGATCTGGAATGTCATGATCAATGTCAAATTCAAGGTCACCATTGGGTAGCTGGGGGAAATTCTTATAAATCAAGAGGCTTCAATTTTCCTACCATGATTACTTCACAAATTATCGTGGGTTTTCGTAACAGACATATATTTACGTTTAAACAAATAATCAGAAACGGGGCACATTACCTCTCCATATTAAAGCTTTTTCCAGTCCTAATAAAGGAGCTTCTACCAACATCGATAGCATGAACGCTAAGAAGTACCCTAAAATTATATCTGCACATGTTGAGTGTATCTGAAAATTATAATTATTGAAATAATATCAGAATCATTTATCTTTTTTATGTGTATTTGTTATTGATTACAGTAAATCTTACTGTGCTAAAATAAACAGATAACAATTTTTTTGTTCGACAAATATTGTGTGTATCATATGAATACTTTGGATAATAATATTTCCACATTTTGTACGTTCTCTTCAAAATATCAGCTGTGTGTTTTTTGTACTTACCGACGTAAACATACTGGCATATCTGGGATGTCTGATGGTTCCTGCTGTTACCATTTGGATGATCCCATGGCACAGGTATACCGTGTATGATAGCCTACTGAGCACTACAAGAGGTGACCATGACAGCATACCTTCGATCCAGGCTGAAAAGTTTAAAGAAGTGAACATTTTAGTAACTTATTAACCTTGAAAAGCATAAAAAACAAGTTGCAATACGGAATGCAATTTTTTTCCAGATCATACGTGTAAGACTGAACTCAGCATGAGCACTATTGGAATCACTGAAATTTATGAAAAAACAAAAGAATCGGAATTTTGCATAGCGACGTCGTTTTTGATATTACAATAACAGTTTTTAGAAGCTATGCAATTTTATTCAATTTATATGGCTAATGGAATACGAGATGCAGATAATGCAAATATTTATTACCACATATTATACTAATTTGACTAGCTTATTATACATTCAGGAGTTCCCGGAAACTGCCGACTGGTTAACTTTGAATCCTGGAAATGCGGGCGAGACCACGCTGTCAATTCTTTCATGTTCAATTGTTTCTCAGTTTTACGTGGTGGTTTTCGATTTACACAAGGTCTTCTTCGGGAGCGATTTTTTTAAAGTTTTCATATGGAAAACCCGATCGTAATAGGGAGTATCAGTGAGATGTGAATTAAGTACCGGAAGTTTTCGTATACAGTGCGAACGATTATACAAAATTTGTGCTGATGATCCCAAAAACTTGCATTGAGGAAAATTCCAAAGGAGGGAATGGCGGCATTTGGTAAGTCCAGACTCATTTTATTTTTTTTCTGATAATTTTCAACAAACATGATAGAGTGAGTTATTCAGATTAGTCCTAATGAGGACTTTGTGCTTATAAAAAGAACAGAGCCTAGTCTAAGTAATTTTGCAGCTGTGCTGTTTTTCCAAAACTGTTTCGAACACTTGTATTTCAGATTACTTTTTGCGATATTACGTCTAAGTCATAAAATGATGCATACTGGAAAATCCTCAACCATGGAACCGTTTTTAAAAAGCCAGTTGTAGTTGAACATGCACATATAGAGAATTCTTCCATCCTCAATTACGACAGTAATTATTATATTTACATGGCGATGGATTTTGCGATTGTGAGAGAGAGAGCAACAAAATGGAATTACGTGTCAGCCGTTGGTCAGGGATCGTCACGAAAAGCATTTACATGTGTGATCCTATCCTGCTACTGAGTGTGAAGCCCTCTTGGCCTTCCTTTTTCCTCCAGTTCGGAATCACTACTTGAAACGTGAAACTAGAGTCGTACTAATGCAGTGTATGACACCTGGTTTCGTAAAATAACGTTCTATGAAACTCTTTGTTACAAACCTGGGTTTTCTACTAGGGTTTTTGTCTGCTTTTAGCAACCTCAGTTGTATAATCACGAGTATTTGTGACAAGATCATATAATGTGTAAGACAACTCTACCCCAGCAGGAATATGTTATCAAAATCCATGAAGGTCAAACTATGTGAAGCTTTGATTTTTTTTATTTTACGCATTCAATGCATTCAAAATTCTTGCATCAGGTTTGCACGAGTTATTCGCAAGTATGACCACATCAGTGAGAGTTTCATGGATTCTGGTTGGGTTACCATGATGAACGGAAGAAAACTTCATTTTCTCACTTCAGAGCACAAGATCGTTACTAGTAGAATACCTACTTTTTTAAACAACAAACTTCAATTCGAGTAACACGTGTTTCGTGATTTTCGCTAAGATGGAAAAAGAGTAGTATCGTTCGGTAACTCGCTTTTTGTTTTTGGATGGGAAAAATGCAAGGAGATAAAAGCAAAGTTGGATGCTATTTACGGGGACACTTCGTCATTTATTACCACATTGAGATATTGGTAAAACGAATTTAAACGTGGGCCATCCATTTTTGATGAGGATCGACCAGGACGCCCGGAAGACTTGGTTACCGAGGAAATCATTCAAAAAGTGTATCTTTCTATTATGTTGAAAAATAAAAAGATTATTTTTTTGAAAAAAATGGTATCTTCATTTCTAACACGTATACTTATTGAACCGCCCTCGTATGTTTCTTTTTAGGTCGTCTTGTAATTTTTATGCATGAGTTGTGCATTTACAAAAAAATGAATTGGCGATGCTCCCATATGTTTTATTTTGTAATGGATATTATTTATTATATACAGGGTGTCCGCGAAGTTACTACGATACGGATTTTACGATTTTACGACAGAGCCGTACTTGGAGTTTCAATTCAACTGAACAGTGACTACTTTTTCATTTATTTTTTTTACTCGTTCGCTCACACCACACATTAACTTTGTTATATCAAGCGTAGCTGTGTCTGAAAAGGAAAACCCCAATTACATGAGTGTCACTGCACTGATTCTATTTTTTTCTCAAGTTACTTTGAATGATGTATAAGGACCATCTATTTTTATCATTTTTATTATTATATAAGAATGTTTCTAGAGTGTGAGTCGTATCTTGATTTGTTTTGAGGAAAAAAGAGACATTTTGACAAAATTTCCCTACCAAAAGGCTGGCAAAGTCGTTCGGGTAATTATTATTTAATTAAATATTAATTTTTCCAATCCAAACATTTCAATCCTCATTATCTTCATTATATTGTTGATAGGTCTTTACATATCGGTATTGGTCCCTAATTAAGACATTTCTACAGTTAAAAAGGGCATGATTGCTTTCCGTCATTGCAACGATGCAGGCAGCGTTGTTTCGAGCTCATTAGCAACTCATCAGTGCAGTATAGGTCAAGAAGTCCTGGAGATAGACTACCGAAAAACAAACAAGTGGGTATGTTCTTTTGAAAAACTCAAAATGCAAAATCCTCTTCCCATACGATGAAGATGACAAAACACCACTAGGCTCCTTGCTCATAACTGCTCGATGTTCTGCGTAATGCACAGTAATAATTTACTAGTCTAAAAGGATGTTGTATACTTACGTCCATATCCCGATGAAATAGCGAGTACCATCCAAGCAATGCTGGCACTCCATGCCACATGATGCAAGCTAGCATAAAGCGCAGAATACCACGCTGGCACTGTGACATTGTAGAATATGTAGGCCACGTGCAAAGATGCGAACATCAGAGGGGCACTTATTAACCATCCCACATACACCCACTTCTTCGGGATTTTAAGTTCTCGGACACCATCTTGTACTTCAGGTATCCAGCTAGTACTCCGACGAAGTATGAGGCAGCTCGCATATGCCCGGGGATGTAGATACGTAGAAATGTGGAGTCCGTGTTTGGTTGGAGAAGCATTCTGGAAGAGAAAATACAAAATGAAATATACTCAGATAACGCCACCAAAAATGTTCTTGGTTACTGACAAAAATTGTAAAATCTATAAAAATAAGTATACTAAGTGACATATAAATCCGAACACCCAGTTTAAATGGTTTTATTTTAATAAAATTTTGTATAAGTACTTAATGAAGCATAATAAGTAAATGATAAAAATTCAAAATGATTGCACTGCTTTAAAGCCCTTTGACCTTTAATAATTTGTGGATGCACCCTGATGTGCTACGCATTCTCCAACGCGCCTAGGCATGCTTCTGATCAGGTGGTCAATGTCCTCCTGTGGTATCTGATTCCAGGCAACCACCAACTCCTCTCGAAGTGCTTCTAGAGTCTGAGGAGGACGTTGCAAATTGAGCAATCTCCTACCCATCATATCCCACACGTGCTCAATTGGGGATAAGTCGGGAGATCTTGGTGGCCATGGTAACAATGTGACATCATTATGTTGAAAGAAGTCTATGACTCTTGCAACATGTGGTCGGGCATTATCTTGTTGGAAAGTTGGATCTGCCAGGGTGTCAAGGTAGGGTAAAAGATGGGGTTCTATAACTTCGTGGATATAACGCTGCGCGTTCATGTTACCTCTGATGAAGATTAAAGGTGACCTGGAACCATAAGCTATAGCACCCCAAACCATAACTCCAACAGTGTGATGAACATGTCTTTCAACAAAAAACTGTGGATTCATCCTTTCACCACGTCGCCTTCTAACCCTGGCACGACCATCGTGCATGCCTAAACAAAATCGAGACTCGTCACTAAAGACAATACTGTTCCATTCCTGATCCCAGAGTGACCGTTGTCTGCACCACTCAAGGCGATTACGTCGGTGTTCTCGAGTTAAACGGAGGACCAAGTGTGGCCGGTATGAAAACAAGCCAAAACTTCTCATTCGTCGGTAAACACTTCGCATGCCAATGGGTCTTCCGTGTTCTGCAAACCATTCATTTGCAATGGACCTGGTAGTGGAGAAACGGTCCCTTAAGGCCAATAATCTTAGGCGGCGATCTTCACGGTCTGTTGTTCTACGGCGGCATCCAGTGCCCCTTGCTCTTTGCGTACGGCCTTCTCGAAGCCATGCCTGACAACACCTAACCACAGAGTCTACACTTCTTTGCACTCTAACTGCAATTGCCCGAAAAGAAAGTCCAGCTTCCCGAAGTCCCACTATACGGCCCCTATCAAACTCACTAAGTTGACGAAATCGTACAGGTCTCCGTACTCTAGGCATCGTAACCGATCGTAAAGGATGTCAATAACCAAAATCCGCCAACGTTGATTCTTTACTGCGGCTGAAATATTCATTTTTAGAGCGTTAGTGAATTAAAAAAAAGCAGTATAAAAACCGGAATGTCCAACTGATAAGGCTGAACATTTTTTCACTTGTTATTTACTGTAAGATAAATACATTCACCAACTTTTATTAAAATAAAACCATTTAAACTGGGTGTTCGGATTTATATGTCACTTAGCATATTTCGGAGCGACCTGAAACTGTTTTGATTGTTGCTATAATGTCTCAGTGACCACTGAACTTCAAAAATGAGATAGTATTACTTACTTTTACCTCACATCACATCGCCCTAAAGATTTCACAAATATTAGTGCAGATTACGCGATTGAAAGAACGCCAATAGATGGACCGACATGCAGACTGTGGGTAATGAGTGCAAGTCCGTTAATGTAACTTCTGAAACTCACAGGCCAAGAAACAGGAAGGTTTTGTATAATGAAATCCTACCACTTTTGCAGCTGTAATTGTTTTTCGTGGTATCGTTAGATTATGGCTTTCTAATGATTAGTTCAAAATGGCGTCATCGTAGGGCTGGAGCACTTAACGCCATGTTTATAAACGCGTTTGATCAAAAATCTCGTAAGCCTTTGGCCCTATGTAGGAAAATAATAAAAATAATTTTGCAGAGAATGAAATTCTTCATCATTTCGCTTCTACGAGGGATGTCTTAAGTTTTGCATATAGAAACTTGATAGGCCGCGCGGATCGAACGTCAGTACTGAATATTAACCTCACTCTTTAGTAAACTTAAATTCATTGTTTCACAACGATACGTGCAGTGTTCTCACTACAGTGAATTTTTAAGTCACCAAGTCATTAGAAAAATGAAACTCAACCGAGAACAGTTTCGCGCCATTATTCATTACAACTTTCAGAGACAATTATCGCAACAAGAATGCCTTGCTGAGTTACAGTCTGTTTTCGGCAAAGAAGCGCCACAACAGTCGACAATTTCCCATTGGTATGGATAATTCAAACGTGGATGGGTGAGTATTAGCGACGATCCCAGGGTGGGTGCACCAAAAACGGCAGTCACCCAGGAAAACGTCGATGCTGTGCGCAAACTTATCATTGAAGATCAACATGTGACATATCGCGAGATTGAGGCGTCCTTGAAGATCTCAAAGACCTCACTTCAAACAATTTTACATGAAGAATTAGGAGTAAGAAAATTAGTTTCTCGTTGGATACCCCACCTGTTGACTGAAGAGCAGAAAGCAGCCAGGGTTAATTGGTGTCAAAAAACGCTTGACCGTTTTAATTCCGGAAACTCAAAAAATGTGTACAGCATTGTTAGTGGTGATGAATCGTGGATTTACTGTTATGTACCAGAAAATAAACGACAGTCGGCTGTTTGGGTGTTCCAAGGTGAAGAAAAGCCAACAAAAGTTATCCGTTCTCGAAATGTTTCGAAAAAGGTGGTCGCGGCATTTGTGTCAAAAGCAGGCCATATTGCAACAATACCTCTTAATGAGCAAAGAACTGTTACTGCCGATTGGTATACCACCATTTGTTTGCCAAAAGTCATCACCGAGCTTCGAAACATCAACCCCGAAAAAAGAATCATCCTCCAACAAGACAATGCAAGCTCGCACACAGCCCAAAAACAAGGCAGTATTTAACGGAAGAAAACGTGGAATTATTGGACGATCCTCCATATAGTTCCGATATAAGTCCTAACGATTTCTTTACCTTCCCGAAAATTAAAAACAGACTGCGTGATCAAGGGTTCCAGGTACCAGAAGAAGCAGTTGACGCATTCAAAAATGACGTTTTGGATCTGCCAGCAAACGAGTGGAATAAGTGCTTCGAAAATTGGTTCCAGCGCATGCAGATGTGTATTAATCTTCTTGGAGAATACTTCGAAAGACAATACAGTCATTTAAAACTACTTACCGTGTTGTTTTATTTCCATATGCAAAACTTAAAAGACAAATTTGTCCTATAGTCAACAGATTACGAGAAATTAAAGGGTGAATAGACTTGTAATCATATTTCTGCTTATAATAGCTAAACTGAGAAACTAAGAGCGTAAAACAATTTTTTGTAGAGAATAAAATTTTCTATAAAAAGGTCTTTTTCGATACTTTGATAGTTCTTGCAGTATAAGAAGGAAAAGTGGAACATTCGTATAAAAACAGCGGTGCGATATATTCAGCATACTACGTTCAAAAATGAGCCATCGAACTTGCATAAGCCTCTTTCATATCCTGGCCTTCAAAAACCCAAGATGGCTTGAAAAGCATCTAGGGACTGACGAAATAACATGGACTATAGAAGAGAAGCGTCACTGCGTCGTTAAAACCGTTTTTGGGGATGTGTCTGAAATGATATTGTGGTATACAAAATCCTACATGCAGTTTAACAGTGGTGTCTGTGATATAGCAGGTAGCGAGGAGGAAGGAAAATATCCAAGAAATGAAGGGCACCTGCATGTAGTTGACCGCAGAAGATAGAAGTGTTTCACTTGTAGCAAAATAAGCAGGAAGTGATATATATATATATATATATATATATACATATACATCGATATATATATATATATATATATATATATATATATATATATATATATATATATATATATATATATATCGATGCTTCGCTAATGATGTAAAAGCGAGTATTGTGATTCCAACATATTTGGTTTTCAGATATCGTCGCTTAAGTTATAACACTACGTAACTCAAAAAACTAAGATATGCACTCACTTAAAAAAAGCCACCGTGATTGCCGAAAAGTCGCCAGTGACAGTATTTCAAGCACATGAGGGTTTTATTTGCTGCCAGACAAGCATGGAGGATTATAAGATATGCATGTCATTCGATAGTGATTCCAAAGACCCACCGTTCTTTTTGCTCTCCTAAAAAGTTTTTAGTTTTAAATTACGCGGTGTTAGAACTCAAGCGGCGATATGTTCTTCTTATTGAACAGCTGTGGAGAATCTCGGAGAATATCCATTCAACATTTTTGTGTTGATTCATGAGTTGGCAGTATCAAAAAGAAGAAAATACGACACAAACTTGATATTTAGTTTTATATCTAACGTTAATGAGCAATGCCAAACATTTCAAAGTATTTTTAGTTTTATATTTTATGAAGTTTCATAATATACGCAAAAGGTATGGATTCCTTGTTGCAACATCGGTTGTAGATTGTTTAAGTATATTGCGAGAAAATATGTGTTCCATTTTTACTTTATTTTATACTCTTTAGTCTTCTGTACATTAATCATCTTCACTGAAGCATAAATAAAAACTTTTGAAAAACAAAGTGATTGTTTTCATTTACACTGAAAAAGCTGTTAGGATGTAAGCACAAAGTTGCTGTTTTCTTTCCTGGTTACTAACTTTAGCGGCTTTACCCCAACTTTCAAACTTGTCACCGTACAATAATCCATTCCAAGCTTTGCTAGAATCCGTATAGCGGTTATTGAGATTGCTCTGTTTCAAGAAAACCAGAACGACAGGTGGGTTATCGCCAATGAGTGGAACGACTGTTTTTCAAACCCGAAAATTGTTCATAAAATGCTATTAGTCGTATATCGCTCAGACAGTAAAATAATAATATGGACCACCCTGTATAAACACGATTACTCTATCGCATGCCAAACTACGCATTACTCTGTCGAAATCAATAGAAGGTGTGGACCCCTTCAGATGAACCAGCCGCCAGTAACCCTTCTTCTCTTTATTCGTATTCTTTGGTAGCCACCCGGCATAAATAAAAAAAGTTATGGGCATCCAACATTATTTCATAATCATTATCTATGGTCAATAATGCCATTTTGAAGTCTATTCACTTTTTACTACCACGTGCAAGTATGGAAAATGTAATATACGATATATATTTTTTAAATCTGTGATGTTTTCATTATGAAGGTCACTAACTTCCATCAGTCTGTTTTTTTGGCAATCTTGTCACTGGGTAGTTTCAGTAACTGTTGTAGCGATTTAAAATGAAAGAGGAGCAAAAGAACTGCACATAAGCAATAGAAAAAAAACATGAAGTCAAATGTGCAAAAGCGATAAAATGATTTGCGCATTTTCAGTGTAAAAGACCATAACCAGTCTGTTGACCGGTGCTGGCGTGCTTAGTCTTAAGAAGCTTATGAAAAATTCAACCTAATATCATAATGAGTCCATGGGCACCCACAAGAGTTTTTCGCAGGGGGGATAATCGGAAAGAGAAAACGTTTTGCGAAAAATCCTCAAAATTGTATACGAAACCATGCTAAATATATAAATCTGAAGGTCGAATCCAGTGCGCGCCCATGAATGAGTCTTAGCGTCTTGAATGAATCATACACTGTGCGTCTAACATCGCCTCCTCACCTCACTGTCTTTACTTACTTCATATACAGAAGGATGATGGGTGCCTCATCGTAGGTCAAAACAGTGATGAACACAGTTATTGCAGAAGCCATCATCAATACAAGCGTTATCATGACACCCAGCCGTGCTTTCTTCACCATTATTAGGCATATTATGGGTACGAATATGAAGGCGTTCATGTCACATGCCATGTACCAGGACTGGAACATGCACTGAAAAAAAAAATGAATAGCAATTTTGTATGTCATTTCTTCCATTCCTAAATAGATGAAAACGTTAGTCTACCTGTCCTTCACATTGTTCGGCATATGTTATAATATATAACATTACTGAATTTTACTTTATTATAGTCAGGCATTAAAATGGAAGAGAATAGTGTGACGCGTTGACAGTGGCGTGCGATGGGCTACTGACTTCCGTTTTGGTACTTGACTATAGATTCTTGGTTAATGGCGCTTCTAAACGGGCAATATCTTTACAAGCTGTTATCCGACTTGACCTGTTGACATTTTACTACCCACGCCTAATAACGAAGAAGCATTGTAACCGCGAGAATTTAGAAAATGTGTTAATCCGTTTTTTGGATGTTACATGACATGTACATGACATGTAGGGATGGAGGAGGGTGTATCGTTTCTGTTTGGTTAGTTGTAAATATTGCATCTTTGGTAGTGGATCCCAGGAACTTGAAAAAGCGGGTAGCAGATGGCGTGGTGTTGCGATATGCATATACGAGGTGGGCGCGATATTATCTATAGATAAGAACATTATGCTTGGAGTCTAATATAATGAGGTTACTTGATTTCGTGAGGTAACACGTACGTCTTGAGAGCTATTATAATCAGTTATCATTGTTGTCATTGTTGACAAACAGTTTTTTACATCAGAGCTCCAAAGAAATGAGGTTATCGTGTACGGACACGCTTATTGCTGCAATCTGAGGATTTTTTTTCATTAAAAGCCCAGCTAATGATTCTGACACTACTACTAATACTAGAAGTTGTTTCGAAGACGTGAGCAGTAAAGGGTCAATCTACTTGACGCCATTTTGTATATATTGCCGTCAGATTGCCAAACAATCGGAGTCCTACTTAATGTAATGAAATGTAAGCTACAGGGAAGCGAACATTTCATTGTCTGGTTTTGAAAAGTCTTTGATGAAAAATTCTGAAAAGTGTATGTGTCTCGATATTACAGACAATTTTTCCAAGATATAGCCGAGACGTAGCTGATATAGCCAAATTATATATAGCCGGGCCATATGTTGCAAAATAGTCATGGTGGCTGGGCCATAGTTTCCATAGTTATAGGTAATCTTGCTACAAACACATTGCTCGTTTAGATGCTCCATTGTTTTGAGTCCTAATGTTGCTGTGGTGACATTTATGAAAATTTCTTTTTTTTCAATCTACACTTACGTAGTACTGCGTATTGACATAGTTGTTGATGAACAGCAAATTAGCCCACCAGACTTTCCGACATTTCTCTTGTTCGGCGACTACTCTGTCCTTCCACAGTGGTCCGTTGCCTAATTTTGTCAGAAGAGTGCAGTAGAACGCCAAGATAACTGCGTATGTCGGAGCCATCCTGGAAATTGCAATAAAAAAATATTAGAGCAAAACTTAACATACGGGGTGAGATAATAGTGTAGGCTTGGTCTATATCTCCATTATTATATAAAAAAATTAATTACGAAAATTGAAGGCAACAGGATGAATACCGATTTGGATAGGCATTTTCAAACGAAGCAATTTATATAACATCCTATAGAGTTTTTCAAATCTATCTAAAAAATACTCCATTTTGACAGCTCGTACATCCACAACTGTTATAGCTAGAGTACTGAATCGGGTCTAAATTTTTCGGTAAAAATTTTTTATGATCCCATATTTTGTTCCTATCCATTTACTTTTTCAAGTTTTCAGGTTTTTGGACAGTTGGTCAAGAACGAAAAATGAATGTTTTCTTGATATTCTTGTATGGCGCCTTGTATATTTGCACATTTCTTGATTCCCACTTTTGAAGGTTTTTGTAAAGCAGATATCAAGGTAAATTCAAAATATTCATCTACCTTTCAAAATGAAAAATTGTAGTTATTTGGTAACGGCAGATCGTTAGAATTGGTGTATATTCATTACACAATAAATCCGATAGTCCGATAGTCAGAAAGATGCGCCTGTGTTTTTAGTTACTCAAAAACTAGTACAAACGGGAATACAAAATTCTGAAAATATGCAATCTATTCTCTTTATATACTGGGTGTTCCTTAATGATATGCGAATATTTGAAAGCGTGAATCTACATGAAAAATTAATGTTTGCTTTATAAACTATGGTCCAAAAATGTTTCCTTACAAAAACTGGGGGTGTTGAAGTTTTAGGAAAAAAAATGAAAATTAATTAATATTTTCAGAAAGCCTCAGATATTTCACTGATATTTAGTACGTAGTGAAAGTTGATAAAGTTGCATATTTTTCGATGCAAAAATAATTTTTAGCTTTAACAGTGGCGTGCGTACAGGTATTGACTTCGATATTTTTTAAGAAAAAAATGATGCGCCAATAGTTTTTTGCCAAATAAAAATTATTTTTGAATTCCCCGTTCAATTTAAAGCAAAAGATCTCTCTTGAATTGTTTTCCTTCGATGCGCCATTTTTTTGTAAAAAAATAAAAACCGTTCTATTGTCCGAAAAAATTAATTTAATACTTGAAGAATGCAATTTAGCAATAAATATCTAGTTGCTCTGGAATATGTCACTGGCTTTTGACATCTGATAAGTCTCTGTTATTCAAATCTGTTTGCTGTGGCATCTTTTTCATTATTTAGCTTTTACAATCTTGTTAATAATGGTGTATTATTCAAACGCAGAAATGTCGGAAATGTCTTACGTATATGGCCTTGCCGACGGTAATGGTGAGCAAGCCAGACGGATTTATCACCAGAGATATCCCGATCGTGCTTTGCCAGATAGTCGAACCTTTTCTAATATTCATCGTCGTCTTGTTGAAACTGGTTCTGTCCGAAAAGGAACAGCTGAAGGTAGACCTCTAAGTGTGAGAACACCTGAAATTGAGGAAGCAGTGCTGCACGAAGTCGAAGAACATCCTCAAGCGAGTACGAGGAAGATCGCTAGATACTTAAATACTTGCCATCAAATTGTTTGGGGAATTTTAGTGGATTTTTTCCTTACCATATTTTAAGAGTACAGGCATTACTTCCCATTGAATTTCCAAAGCATGTGACATTTTGTCAGTGATATCTTCAGAAAATTACACAAAATCCGCAATTTGAATCAATGATTCTGTTCGCGGACCAAGCTAATTTTTCTCGAACTGTCATTCAGAATTTCCACAATAATCATTTGTGGGCAGAAGAAAATCCCTATGCCGTAACCGAAACCCATTTCCAACACCAATTTTCGGTTAACGTATGGGTAGGAATTATTGGCCCATTCTTCTTGCTGGGACAACTTGACGGACGGATGGAACTTGATGATGTTCTTTTAATAATAAGAAACAATATGTGATACATGCAGGATGGTGCACCAGCGCATTTCAGTCTAGCGGTTCGTAATTACGAGTATTCACAAACTGTTTATCCAAATCGTTGGATTGGCCGCGGTGGGCCCCAAGAATGGCCACCAAGGTCCCCAGACCTCAACAGTTTAGATTTCTTCTTGTGGGGCTATCTTAAGACACTAGTGTACAGAAGTCCCATTAATACTGTAGAGGAACTAAGAGAAATAATAGTTGCAGCTTGTGATAGAATAAAAAATACTCCAGGGATATTTTAACGAGTGCGCAATTCCATGAGAAGGAGGGCGGAAGCATGCATACTAAGGGGGCCATTTTCATCAATTTTTGTAATTATTTCGTTGGTTTTAATGTTATGTTTGTGCTGTCAGTTGTTGTTGTTCATTACCCCTAATGTGTTTAATTTTTACAATTAAATTAATAATAATTTTGCAAGTTGACAATAGAACGGTTTTTATTTTTTTACTCAGAAATGGCGCATTGAAAGAAAGCAACTTACGAGAGATCATTTGTCTTAAATTGAACGGGGAATTTAAAAATAATTTTATTTGACAAAAAACTATTGGTGTACTATTTTTTTCTTAAAAATATCAAAGTCAATACCCGTACACACGCCACTGTTGAAACAAAAAATTATTTTTGCATCAAAAGATATGCAACTTTATTAAATTTCACTACGTACTAAATATCAGTGAAATATCTGAAGCGGTTCTGAAGATATTAATTAATTTCCATTTTTCCATTTTTGGACCATAGTTTATAAAGCAAACTAACATTAATTTTTCATGTAGATTCACACCCTTAAATATTCGCATAATATTAAGGAACACCCTGTATAAATAGTATGCCTTCTTGACCACTCTACTCGTATATAAACTATCCAAAGAACTAAAAAAGTGAGTAGGTAGTGATAAAATATAGGATCATAAAATTATTCAGGCGAAAAGTTCTGTACTTCAGCTGTAACAGTTGCGGAGGTGCTACAGTGTTTTTTTTTTGATGCAGGGTCCAATTACTTAACAGTTTGAAAGTAAAACCCTGTAGTATGTTATATCCAATTGCTTCGTCTGGAAGAACCTATTTAAATCTGCAATAAAATGTCGGGGCCTTCAATTAAGAAAAATGCATGCTGATCACCACGTAGGTATGAATCACAATGTAAAAATTACAATATTTCCCAAATCAGGAGCATACTGATGCCCACAATTTTTGTATTTGACTATTTTAGACACCATGCGTAATAACGGAGTTATAATTGACGATTCCATATCAAAAATTCATATGGTGTCCTATATGTTTGAATCACTTTGGGTTCGAACTATTAGCGCAGTTTTGATTAAATAGTATTTGTACGTTAATCTAAATAAGAAACAATTAATTACACAATATCAAAATATGAAATAATAACAAATATAGTACCAAATAGAAAGATGCGTACAAAATTCGGTGGCAACACTTAAAAAAAATGATCTTCCATGGCACTTACGAGTCCTCAATTGAGTACAAAAAATATCAGCTTCTTATTTATTGGTTTTAAAGGCACGCAAGTTTGTGTGGAATGAATCTTTTAACTAAAAAACTTTGACATGATTTACTGATATTTCGTTCTTACCTAATGTATCTGTGGAAATACAGCAGGAGTATGTTCCTACGTTTGGCCTTAGCTAGATGGTTCAAAGCTAGATAAGTTGCTAGGAATCCAGATAGGGTGAAAAAAGTGTCCACTAAAATAGGTCCATTAAGAATGAACGTTAAGCCGAATTTTGAGTAATACTGAAAAGAAAAGAATTAAAAACAGAACTCCAGGTTGCTGAGATATTTTATTAAGATTTTGTAGTTTGGTGAACAACAAATATAACGTCAGGTAAATACTTGCAAAATTTAATTTTTTTATGATTGAACATTAAATTTGAAGCACATCCATTACGAGGGATATCTTTTAAGTTTTGCATATAGAAACATAGTAGGCCGCGCGGATCGAACCTCAGTACTGAATCTCAACCTCACTCTTTAGTAAACTTAAATTCAAAGTTTCACAACAATACGTGCAGTGTTCTCACTTCAGGGAATTCTTAAGTGTCATCAAGTCATTAGAAAAATGGAACTCAACCGAGAACATTTTCGCGCCATAATTTAATACAACTTTCAGAGGCAATTATAGCAACAAGAATGCCTTGCTGAGTTACTGTCTGTTTTCGGCAACGAAGAGCCACATCAGTCAACAATTTCCCGTTGGTATGGAGAATTCAAACGTGGACGGGTGAATCTTCGCGACGATTCCAAGGTAGGTGTGCCAAAAACGGCAGTCACCCAGGAAAACGTGGATGCTGTGTGCAAACTCATCATTGAAGATAGACATGTGACATATCGCGAAATTGAGGCGTCCTTGAAGATCTCAAAGACCTCAATTCAAAAAATTTTACATGAAGAATTAGGAGTAAGAAAATTAGTTTCTCGTTGGATACCCCACCTGTTGACTGAAGAGCAGAAAGCAGCCAGGGTTAATTGGTGTCAAAAAACACTTGACCGTTTCAATTCCGGAAACTCAAAAAACGTGTACAGCATTGTGAGTGATGATGAATCGTGGATTTACTGTTATGAACCAGAAAATAAACGGCAGTCCGCTGTTTGGGTGTTCCAAGGTGAAGAAAGGCCAACAAAAGTCATCCGTTCTCGAAGTGTTTCGAAAAAAATGGTCGCGACATTTGTGTCAAAAGCGGGTAATATTGCAACAATTCCTTTTAATGTGCAAAGAACTGTTACTGCGGATTGGTATACCACCATTTGTTTGCCAAAAGTCATCACCGAGCTTCGAAAAATCAACCCTGAAAGAAGAATCATCCTCCACCAAGACAATGCAAGCTCGCACTCAGCCCAAAAAACAAGGCAGTATTTAACGGAGAAAACGTGGAATTATTGGACCATCGTCCATATAGTCCCGATCTAAGTCCTAACGATTTCTTTACTTTCCCGAAAATTAAAAACAGACCGCGTGGTCAAAGGTTCCAGTCACCAGAAGAAGCAGTTGACGCATTCAAAAATGCCGTTTTGGATCTGCCAGCAAACGAGTGGAATAAGTGCTTCGAAAATTGATTCGAGCGCCTGCAGATGTGTATTAATCTTCGTGGAGAATACTTCGAAAAACAATAAAGTCATTTAAAACTACCTACCGTGTTGTTTTATTTCCATATGCAAAACTTAAAAGACATCCCTCGTATTACCAACAGTTCAAAATTACTAGGTACCTCCAGATAGAGTGCTTGACTGGAAGTCTCCTCGCACTGAATTTTTTATTGATATCCAGTAACTTCAGTATGAGTCTCCGTGAGTTTTCAACTAGAATATGAGATCATTGGAAAGGTCGTCAACCACCTTACTTATCTCCTACTCGCTCCGTAGTCTATTTTTTATGGAGCCATTCAGAATTGCTAGCCTATCAGCTAGCTAGCTTATCATAACCAATAAAGCATTGCTGGATGTGACTTAATAATAAGCGATGTTGATATATACTAAGTGACATATAAATCCGAACACCCAGTTTAAATGGTTTTATTTTAATAAAAGTTGGTGAATGTATTTATCTTACTGTAAATAACAAGTGAAAAAATTTTCAGCCTTATCAGTTGGACATTCCGGTTTTTATACTACTTTTTTTTAATTCACTAACGCTCTAAAAATGAATATTTCAGCCGCAGTAAAGAATCAACGTTGGCGGATTTTGGTTCTTGACATCCTTTACGATCGGTTACGATGCCTAGAGTACGGAGACCTGTACGATTTCGTCAACTTAGTGAGTTTGATAGGGGCCGTATAGTAGGACTTCGGGAAGCTGGACTTTGTTTTCGGGCAATTGCAGTTAGAGTGCAAGAAGTGTTGACACTGTGGTTAGGTGTTGTCAGGCATGGCTTCGAGAAGGCCGTAAGCAAAGAGCAAGGGGCACTGGACGCCGCCGTAGAACAACAGACTGTCAAGATCGCCGCCTAAGATTATTGGCCTTAAGGGACCGTTTCTCCACTACCAGGTCCATTGCAATGGTTTGTAGAACACGGAAGACCTATTGGCATGCGAAGTGTTTACCGACGAATGAGAAGTTTTGGCTTGTTTTCATACCGGCCACACTGGGTCCCCCCTTTAACTCGAGAACACCGACGTAATCGCCTTGAGTGGTGCAGACAACGGTCACTCTGGGATCAGAAATGGAACAGTATTGTCTTTAGTGATGAGTCTCGATTTTGTTTAGGCATGCACGATGGTCGTGCCAGGGTTAGAAGGCGACGTGGTGAAAGGAGGAATCCACAGTTTTTTGTTGAAAGACATGTTCATCACACTGTTGGAGTTATGGTTTGGGGTTCTATAGCTTATGGTTCCAGGTCACCTTTAATCTTCATCAGAGGTAACATGAACGCGCAGCGTTATATACACGAAGTTCTAGAACCCCATCTTTTACCCTATCTTGACACCCTGGCAGATCCAACTTTCCAACAAGATAATGCCCGACCACATGTTGCAAGAGTCACAATAGACTTCTTTCAACATAATGATGTCACATTGTTACCATGGCCACCAAGATCTCCCGACTTATCCCCAATTGAGCACGTGTGGGATATGATGGGTAGGAGATTGCTCAATTTGCAACGTCCTCCTCAGACTCTAGAAGCACTTCGAGAGGAGTTGGTGGTTGCCTGGAATGAGATACCACAGGAGAACATTGACCACCTGATCAGAAGCATGCCTAGGTGCGTTGGAGAATGCGTAGCGCATCAGGGTGCATCCACACATTATTAAAGGTCAAAGGGCTTTAAAGCAGTGCAATCATTTTGAAATTTTTATCATTTACTTATTATGCTTCATTAAGTACTTATACAAAATTTTATTAAAATAAAACCATTTAAACTGGGTGTTCGGATTTATATGTCACTTAGTATATTTGAAAGAGTTCGGCGATACATCAAGAAAAAATGGTTCCGGAGGAAGTCATTTTAAGGAGTTTTTGTAGTTTCACGTGTAAATGTGCTTATAAAATACTTTTGGCCTGGTTTCTTAGAAAAAAGGCAGTTTCTCGAAAATTATGAACGAACGAAATAGCCTCAGCCTGACTCTAACACCTCTTCGACATTTATCCAATATTTCTATGCATAATTAAACATTTTTTGGAACAATATTATTGTGACTCCGGCGCGACCTCAAGTAACAAATCAGCATTATTTCAATCAGTTTCAAGTACCAATAAAGCGGTAAAAACTTGTAAAACGATTGTTCATTTATTTTCTTTAGCACACTCACCATGCTGTAGTTTCAGTATATGCATATATGAAAGCGTAAAAAATTAATTATAATAATTAGTTTCAGAATGCAATTTACCTTGACATACAATATATACATAAATAATGAATATAACCATAGGAAAAATCAGTTTTTCTTTGTTTTCTCTGTCTGAGCAACGTTTTTTTTTTCATTTTATTTGTAGACTCATCACATAACAGCGTAAAGTATTTACCTGCATCTAAAAATGACTTCCCTATCATAAACTGGGTGATTTTGTTAAAATGTCTTTGAGGTATCATAACGTCTACAAAATCTGTGGATCTGGTTGTATGTTAGTCAATACACGTTTTTCTAGCTGCGACATTTCAGAAAGAGATGATTTTAAATTTTTGTTGGAGTTCCTGATCGTACCAAAACTTCATTTGTCTATAATATTTAATCCAATTAAAAATTTTGGGAGAGATTTCAAAAATTTTGTTGCTGTTTTATAATTTTCTGATCGATAAGAGGGAGTATTTGCGCTTCAGGGATTTTAAATTTGTATGTATGAGAAATTTCAAAAGAATGCGTGGAAAGTACTAAGTTAAAAAAGTCACTAGAATTTGTTGGTTGTACATTTTACAATAAATATTGTCTGACGAAATTAAAAATGTAATTTCTTGCAGAAAATTTAAACGGACGCTAAAAACCTTCCTGATAAATCACAGCTTTAATAATCTTCAAGATTAATGGGACAACAAAGAATGTCTTGAAATTCTTTTAAACAACATGTTTGTGATGTTTTATATATGTATACATGTTTACACCGTTATGTGATTCATGTGACTCATTTGTATTATTGTTTTTGTATAATATTTTTTAGAATTTACAGATAAATGCAGATTGCTACGATGATAAATTGTGTAAGATGGTAGGTATACATTGTATTTTTAGCACTTGTACATAAATCCAGTTGACTTGATCTTTGTTTTTATACAAATTGTAATAAGAACCAATAAATGATTTGAATTTGAATTGGAATAATTTTTTCCATCGCGAAGCTGGAATAAGCTTTGAGCTTATGGTTTTGCATGTAAGTTGAAAGAAACTGTAGAGATGAAACTTCTTACGTTAAATTCTGTTTTTTTTATTGATTAGAGGTTGATCCAAATCAATATTGAATTCTTTCTTTCCCTAAGAAACAAATAACTAAACAGGTATAACAGTAAATAGGTAACAGGTGACAGATCTGGACTGCTAGAAACCCATTTCAAAAGTGGTACATTATTTTCTTCCATCCATTTTATAGCCTTTTTTTAGGTATGGCACGCTGCACCATCTTGCTGAAAAACAAAATCTTGGCCGGATGTCAAACATTCTTCCATCACTGGTAAAAGCGATTCTTCTAAAATTGCCAAATATTTGTTTGCATCCACATTTCCATCAATAAAATGCAGTTTCCTACTCCTTTTGATGACATACTGCCCCAGACCATAATGGATGCTGGAAATTTCACTTTTCTCTTCAGACAGTCAACATGGAATGCTTCATTTTTTTGCGAATAACTCTACTGCGACTGTGACCAACACAAACTTCGAATCGGGCCTCATCACTCCATTGTATTGCACACCATTGTTGAGGTGTCCATTGTCTATGTTCTTTAGCCCATCTACAGTATATTCAGATAAGAGATAGACCGGATGTAAACAAAAGGTTCGGGTGATTTTCACGCTAACGCCGCCGTCTCGACGTAAAACAGGAGCCCTCATTGGTCAATTCGGTCGTATCAAGGCAGAGTCACATTCAGGTTCAGACGTGTTACGTATGTCGTGTGCATCATTGCAATTTGATATTTCTTTGGACGTTTTCGTTTGTTATCTTATTAAGTTGTTGAGTTTGTCGTTGTTATTGTTATACCTTGTTATTGATTGTTATTGTTATCAACTGCTTGCGCAAAATGCCCAGTAGTACAGATACTGCCGATGAAGTTGTAAACTCCTGTAGTCCACCTAGGAAACGCTCTAAAAAAAGACACCTGAGTGCAGAAATGAAAGAGGTCATTTTGAATATATATAAGATCCAGCGCGAGGAGAACGAGGCATCAACCATCAAAGAAATTGTTGTGAAGGTTTCTCACAAACTTGGGGTGTGTCGCGCATCAGTGTTTAATGTGTTAACGGCGCTCTCACAGTCAAGCAGAGTTTCTGAGGGGAATTGGGGGGGTGATAGGGAAACGCTAGTAGGACGGCGTTGTGACAAGGCAAGCGCTCTACGTTAGAAAAGGATAGTAATACGCAGAGGTGTGCTGTTCGCGTGCCTAGTTGAATTTGCATATTGCACAGAGTCGGATTTGATTTGGATATACGATCTAGCGTACGACTGTTTCCCTATTTTGGCGCATAGTATACTCAGCCCTTATTACTTTTATTACCGTTATTGTATTGTTGTATTATCGTGTTGTTATTGTTGTGTTGTTATTGTTGTGCTGTTATTGTTGAGTGTCTTTCTTATCAAGGTATCAAAAATGAACAATAAGAGAAATAAACGTGGCGTCTCGAAGAAGCCGCATTTAAATACGCACAGGAAAAAAAAACGTTTTCCAGATAGAAAAGTAGGTACCAAAACAATTATGAATTTTAGCATTCATTTTGCCAATAAATTAGACTATACGTAGTTACTATTATAACTATATTTTATATGTTATTTTAGCTTAAAAATGACAGCAAGGTTTCGCATATGCATTCTCTAACAGAGACAGATGGCATGGATCTTCAAATTCAGGTGTGTATACCCTTTTTTTTAGATTTGCACCAGAGGCTGATATCATTTCTGGCAATTCTGATTAAAAATGCAGTAAGTGTACTTCATGACGTCGATAATAGTATTGTAGAGCAGTTTAACTCAATCATAGCTAAATTCATTGGGGGTAAACGGATTAATTATTGCAAGAAGAGATCCTACCAAGGAAGATGTGCTGCAGCCGTAGTGAGCCACAATACACAGCGACCTGTTTGTGTGATCCAAAAGCGGCTACTCCCTAGTTTCAGTCCAACCTCTTTGATTGCTAAAGTTGAAGAAAGGAGAGCGCACAAAAATCTGAAAAGGAAGCTGAAACCAAGGAAAATTAAAATCAGAGATAGTGATACTAAAGAGAACGCATCCTATGGGGAATTCTGTGAGAAGCCTGACATGAGCAACGAAGATATAGAGGCTGCCAAGGTAGAATTCTTGAAAAAACTTGCAAAAACCGACTCCAAAATATCCCAGATCGAGCAAGCCACAAAATCTCAGGATTGCAATTTGTGGCGTCTTCGTCGAAGAATGAGGTTGACTGCGTCTCGGTTTGGTGAGGTTTGTAGAAGAAGAGATACAACAAGTTGCAGAGCTCTAGTAAACGCCATAATATACCCAACCGAATTCTTTAGCAATGCATGTGACTATGGAAAAAAGCATGAAAGCGTGGCAAAATCAGAAATAGAGAAATCATATTCGCAATCAGAAGTACAATCTTGCGGGTTGTTTATTGATAGGACCCATCCATTTCTGGCAGCATCGCCAGATGGTTTGATAGGCGAAAAAGGTCTGCTAGAAATTAAATGTCCATGGTCGGCTAGAGAAATGACCCCTGAAGAGGGCATTCTGAACAAAAAAATTACGTTTTGGATAAACGATGAAATAAATAAAAAACATAAGTGGTATTACCAAATTCAAGGGCATCTACACGTTGCACAAAGAGAGTACTGTGTGCTTGGTGTTTGGACCCCGTATGGTTTGAAAATAGACGTCATTCGAAAGGATGACGTTTTCGGGAAAAATGAAATGGAAGAGAAATTGAAATTCTTCTACATGAACTGCTTGCTCCCAGAACTGGTCGATCCCAGAAAAAGCAGAAATATGCCAATCCGCGATCCCGATGTGATCTTGAAGGCACAAGAGAACCGTTTGAACAAGAAAAAGAGTTCTTGAGAATTGGCTATTTTTGCTGTACTCGGGTACCAAAATGGAAAAGATTAGCATATTACATTGTACGCCGTTACTAACCCCTTCGTGTCGGCAAATGCGGTGTGCAGATCTCGCTTTAGCAGCGATGTGCGAGATGTTATGCTAATCTCTTCCATTTTGGTACTAGTACCAGATGTTCACTATTTATTGTATATTGTTTATTTAAATAAAAGTCAATCGTCAGGCTCAATAGCACGTAGCATCGGCTAGCTTTATCTAGTCTGTTAGATGGCGAATATTGAAATGTCACATTGACACGTTAAGCGCCACAGTAGAATCTGAAAATCCAGTCCACTGGGCCAAACTGTTATTATTGTCAAATTAGCTTGTTTTAAGTTTCGGTTTAATATTTTGACTTGACTTTTTTTCTCAAATCCTATGATTTTTCCCCTTTTTTGATTTTTTTTTCTGAGGTACTAATTGTATGTTGCGTGACCCACAGACCAGTCGGGTCGCGTGGCACATAAGTCGCGTCGCGTTTTTTGCAAGTCAAGACTTGCATCATGTCGCGCGTTAAGCACTGTTTCGTGTCATTTATTATTGAAGCGTTGTTGGTATTGTACGTCATCTTGTCCAAATTGCTTTACTGTTTATAAATTATTGAATACCAAATTTGTGATGTCGCATTACGAAGCGGAGCAAAAAAGGCTTGAACAATTGTGTAATGAAATACTATCGGATAAAGAGAGTGGCAGTACTGAGTTATGTGGGGATGTATACTTATCTGATGCGTATTCTCCAAGTGGTAGTGAATCAGATAGTAGTTGTAGTAATTCCATATTTATCTGTATTACTGTTTATTTATACCGGTATTTTGTTTATTCCTGCATAAGACTTTGTCAATCTGTTTAGTTTATAAGAGTTCCTCCATATTTGTGTTCGTTAGAATATTGACATTTACCATAACTTACTGATTTGCTGTGAAATTACTATGTTCATTTTTGAATGAGAATGTCTGATTATTTTATAAGATTTGCTTTTTGTTTTAGATTTGTAGAATATCCTCTTTTTGTAAAACTCTATAAACAACGTGTTTTTTAATGTTTTCATTTCCAATTCAGTATAATTTGGTCCCTCAGGCCACGGACTCTTGGTTCCCGTAAGAAAATCACATCAGCATGGCACACGTCTTACGTTACGCGGCCAAATATAACTGCCAGCAGTGAGACATATCATGTGTGTCACGAGGCCCAAAGCGCCAAATGAGCTGCGACACACGCATTATATCTCATGACGCTTATCGTGTTAAGTTTATTTTACGATACTCCATAAGGTTAAAGCTAAACAGCAAGTGACATTTTATTTGTGGTAAATGCGTTCACTATAATTATTATTTTTAACTAAAAAGATTACCGCCTCCAATGACCCTGGAACCACCTGGAAACTTTTGGTCACAAAGTTCTGTATTTTACCACACATGTCAAGTCTTTTCATTTGATATGTAAATTGGGGGTTTTGTACAAAAATATGTAACTCGCAATTTCGAAACGGCGGCAATCTTGGAATCAAATTTTTAGTGAAGTACTGTATTCTACAAGCGACTATTAGCAAGTATGTTATCCGCCATTTTGTAACGGCCGCCATCTTGATTTGAAACTGTTTTCGTATTACTGTTTTGTACAAGTGCTTCCATTTGATATCCATATTGGGGTGATTGAACAAAAATGATTTTTTGTGGTATCACCTCTGAAGCATGGCTATTGTATAAAAAGAAATGATCAAAATCGATTAAAATTTTCCCCTCTTTCATTGAAGTCTATTAAAAATATCACTTAATGGTCCGATGTTTATCTCGAACGACCGACGTTAAAACTGCTACTGTTTAACTTGGGACAACAAATTATCTGAATACGTCCTTTCTAAGTCCGTACACACCGCCGCGTTGCTTCGACTGGCAGCACGAGATAGTGGATAAAATTCGTGTAAAAGCCTATTTGCAGAGGTTTTCGCGCTTCAAAATTGACGCTTCATTTTTGAATATTTTTCAATGAAATTTTCACAGTGCACTAAAAACAAGACTCCACAGGGTGCTATAGAGCTACTTTTTCGTTTTTTCCTCTGGGTTATTTTTAAAAAAATCGAGAAGTCGAACAACAATTATCTGCACTTCCACCCACCATAACTCCTGAAAAAAAATTTTTTTTAGAAAAGTGGCTCTATAGCACCCTGGACAATTGTCTTCTTAACATACTGTATAAATTTTATTCAAATATATCGAAAAATGGAGCGTCAATTCCGAAGCAGCTAAACACTTGTAAATGGCCTGAAACTCACTGCGTCGGAGCCGCCTTAAGACAATACAAAAAAAATCACACCTTTTCTGAGCCAATGACCAGTAAACATCGCAAAAGTATTGTTAAATCATTGGATGAAGCTGATAAGCATGCGATTAGGAGGAAAGTGCATGAATTATTCTTTAGGAATGAAATACCTACTATAGATAAAGTACTGCAGGAGGTAAATGGAGATACAACGTTGCCAAATTTCAAACGATCAACTTTCCATGCGTTACTGAAGCATTCAAATTTCAAATGGAAAAAACGGGGTCGTAATAGTTTACTACTGGATAGAGAAGAAATTGTGCTATGGAGGAGGGATTATTTAACAAAAATTGGGAAATATAGAAATCAAAACAGGAAGATTTATTACCTTGATGAAACGTGGGTAAACGCAGGACACACTACAAGTAAAGTATGGGTTGATGATTCTGTAACTTCATCCAGGAGGGCCTTTCTAGATGGACTGTCCACCGGATTAAAAAATCCAGCAGGTAAATACGAGTAACAGACAACAATCGGATGTTTTTCAAACCTTGGGAACAAGGTTCTAAACATTAATTCCAGGGGGCAGATAAAATATATTACAAGTAACAAAACTTTTATAACTTTCGATAAAATGCGTGGATGTTTTATTGTCATTTTCATTTGTTAGAACTTTTTTAAGCCATGTTTTTATGTGTTTTCGATATTTCAATAATTTTTTAATATAATCTTAAAATATGTCGAATATTATAAACTTAAAAAAAGTTACTAAGTTTTATATTGTGTACCGTTCCTAATATTTCTAATCATTTTAATTCATACTTTAAGCTTTATAAAGTTATAATTTGTTAATATTAATATTTGCGCGTATTTCAGGTTCCTGGTCATTCATTTTTTAAAGGTTTATAACTTTAAATTAAATTGTGAAGCGCTGAGTAATCATACTCATGTCTCAATGTTTTTTCGCTGAATGTGATGAAAACATTTGAAAAATGTTCGCTTATTGAAATAAATCTACACCAGTTAGTACTTCGATTTCCAGGTAAAGGGAAAAGGCTCATTATCTGCCATATTGGCAGTGAGGATGGATTTGTTGTTGACGGTCTGTGGTGCTTTGAGTCTAAGAAAACTGGAGATTACCACGAGGAAATGAATGGCGAATCGTTTGAACAGTGGTTTTCAAAAATTTTACCGAACTTAGAGGAAAACGCAGTAATTGTGTTGGATAATGCGCCTTATCATTCTCGAAGAATGGAGAAGGTCCCAACAACGGCTTCAAGGAAAGTTGATGTTCAAAATTGGCTCCGCTCGAAAAATATCAACTTTGAAGAAGCAATGCTGAAAGTACAATTATTAAGAATTGTCAAGGATCACAAGGCGGAATATCAAAAATACGCCATTGACGAAATGGCAGCAAGTCAAAATAAAACTGTGCTCCGTTTACCTCCATACCATTGCGAGCTCAATCCCATTGAGCTCATATGGGCAGAGGTTAAAAATTATATAGCTAAGCACAATACAACTTTTAAATTTTGTGACCTCAAAGGACTTTTCAAAGAAGCACTGGAATTAATAACAGCGCAAAAATGGGAAAACTGTATTAAGCACGTGAAAGACAAAGTTGAAAAGAGAATGTGGGAACTGGACAATATTTTAGAGGAACAAGTCGAGCCATTCATTATTGACGTTGGTTCTTCAGGCAGTAGCGATGATGAAAGCTCATCAAGCTCATCTTTCCAATAAAAGATGTCGTTCATCAAATTCGGTAAGTTATAAGTAATTATAAAGCTACTGTATTTTTTAATTAACTATTGACATTTTTGAACCCATTTTGGCAAAACCTATTCAAGAATCTACTTTCTGACAATGTTCAACCATGCACATTTTTTTACGTTTTGAACGTTTTAATTTGGTTACATATTTACCTAGAAATCAAAAAATATACTAATCAATATTCTAAAAGCAATTTTAAGAGATATACGATTATTTTTAATTTAGGCTAATTTAAACGCCATTTTGAGATTATATTCGACTGTATTTCACCAAACATCAGGCGGCATCCGAAGCTGGAAATCGAAGCGAAAATTTTGAAACCCTTATGTATATTTACATCATTATATATTTCTTACCCCACCCCCACATGATCCTATATCCATCACCAATCATATACACATCGAATTGTGCTAATTTACTACAAAGTTACGCAAAGCAGCATCTACTATCTAAAATATGTACTGCGTGACTCTTAATACGTCCCTGCCGAATGTTACAGCGTTCGATGATCACGTGGTCTTGTTTATGTCCGGTCTATCTCTTATCTGAATATACTGTAAGCCGATTTTTCTTTTGCAGTGGAGTTAATAGTGGTTTTTCTTTGGCCTATAAACAAGTTGTGCAACTTTAGTTAGTTTTTACTTCACTTTTTTTATAAGAAAACTTACCTGGCATGTGCTAAATCCCAGTCTGTGGGCCTCTCTATGAGTTGTGGATCTCGAAATTCTCCTTCCAACAGCGTCACTCCACAGAGCACACACATATCGTGGCTTAATATTAACTGAACCAGTTACGTTATATTATGTTCTAACAATATTTCTCACACTATACCGCGATAAGTCTAACAAAGTTGCAATTTCTGAGTTTGATTTCCCAGAATTAAAAAATTTAATTATCAGTAACCGAATTTTCTCACTAATAACCTTTCCTCTACCTATTTTGAAAACCTTAACTATCCAAAACTATTTTAAACGTATTCTGACAGCTGTGATTAATAAAAACAATTGTTATTTTTCACAGCCACCTATGCGTTATAGAGTTATTTTGCATTGAAATGAAAATAGGTTGATATGCTGTAATTGCAACATGTGTTATTTTTATGCTACATTTTTATTATTTGTGTTTGATAAGAAAAAAACTAAGATTTCAATAGTTCGGCCAACTGAAGTGGAAAGGGGCTCGTACATATGTATAAATTACTTGTTATTTACGTTTCTGTAGTCTTTTTCAGAGTCGTTGATATGTAATTTGAAAGTACTTGCAACATATGTGGTTTCATTTGGCCAAAGAAACATGGAGTTCTATTATTATTTGGTATTTGGCTCCATAGTTGGATTTAAAAATAGAGCGAAGTAAGAATATTTTTTTTCTCTCCAGTTATTTGGGATGTAACTGCTTCCTACCCTAACTATAATATTCCAATTTATCAATTCTTCTTCTGTAATATGTGACACATTTACATACACGTACAAATAGCTTCCATACCCAAGGAATAACACTATAAACTGTTCAAAGTTATCAACTTCTGCTGAAATCTTTGATGATGGAGCATTAGAAACAAAATATCATACCTGTTCTATCACCTTAGGATTCGATGTCGCAGATCCCAAGTCAAACATATTCCTGTGCAGCAATATTATACAAAACATGGAGTATACTTTCATTCCAGCCATGCAGTTAAAGTTGTTGGAACCCTTGGACTTTGTGTTTGAAGTGAGTTTTCTTACATTTCTTGGAAACGAGAAACAAATCAGCAACGTGTGTATCCCATCTAAAACAAATATTGTGCATACAAAAAGTTTCATATAACATGGGGGTCAAAACGGCATTTTTTTTAAAGAAAAGCGACTTTAAAGTAGAATAAAATCTGACAACGCCGCAATACCAGACGTAAATTACGACGGAATAAAGATCGAGTTTGTTATTTTTGGCTCTTCGGTATTATTTCATTATTTGATAATGTACTCGTAAAATGCAAACAATTTAAAAAAAAACGGACATACAACTAACTGTCTCAGCGCTTCACCTGGTGTGTGAAAGTTTAATGAACGTATTAAAAAAATCAACTTATAAATAGGGAACACATACATCGTTTTTCTTTTTAAACCCACACTGCACCTTTTGTGTATTTAAAGGTGTTTAAAATGTCGTCCTCCACTTTCCACACAAGCTTCATTGCGACGAACCCAGTTTCTCCTTACTCTAGGTCCTCGAAGTTGTCCATTTATTATTTCAGCCGCATTAATTTTTTTTCGCGAAGTTGGGCTTCAGTTCTTATTGGACCAGCCCCATAAACCATCCCTTTATCTTCTCTTCAATACCAGAAATCCATCGGATTGAGGTCACGAGATTTTGCTGGCCATTTTCGACAGATCCAGCGATTTGGCATGTTGTCTAAGGTCTGTTCCAAAAGTTCTGGTAGGTTATTGGCTAGAAAGCTAAGGTATCCTGACAACTTTGGGGGTAACTCGAAAGGGCGAATTACCTGATCGTCAAGAATACCCGCCCAAATATTTATTTTAAAACGTTGTTGGAAATGACCTTCACGGATGATATGAGGATTTGCTTGGGCCCACGTGTGAGTATTATGGAAGTTTAATATCCCGTCTCGCGTAAAAGTACATTCGTCAGTCACTAGAATGTTTTTAAAAAAATCCGGATTTTCCATGTTTTTATGCAAAAACCACTGACAGAATGTTAGTCTGCGAGGATAGTCTTCTGGTAACAAGGTCTGCACTCATTGTACATGATAGGGATAAAGCAAATTTTCCCGTAGGATTCTATAGACTGTGATGTTCTACAGTAACCTGTCTTTCACGAGTGCGAATATTGATGGGCTGAACAATTCCTGTATCTCGAAGTCTTTGGTACACTTGCACAAATGTCCTTCTGTCTGGGTGTACCCGTTGGCGAAATCTGTCGCGATGAATTTGAGCCGCAAGATTTGAATTCTGACGAGCTTCACCGTAAACTAACAACATGTCGGCGAACTCTTGATTCGAGAACATTGTAAATGAACACAACGACGTACGCGAACAAAAACAAAACAAGATACTAACCACTGTTACCGTTTGCGATCGATTGCCGGTTCGATAAGAGTGATGAAAGACCGACGCGCTGTTGTCATGTGTGTTTTGAATATTTAATTTAATGAAACTTACTTACTGACTACAAATTTTGGCTTAACTTAGAAAAACTTATTGCCATTTGTTTGCTAATTACCCAATTTAAAAATGTTTTAGATTAGATTATAAAAATTAGTAAGATTGGGGTGATTGTGGTCGATATACGATAAAGCACTTGAAGTTGTAAACTATAAAGTCATTTAGACAAAAGTCTATTGACTTTTGGACCATGGGTCATATGAACTTTTTGACTTGTTTTGAGCCCCCCTATTACCCATTTCAACAATGACTACCATCAGGTTTACACCCTGTATAATAATCACTCAGAATGAAAAACACTGTACATATGTAAATTGTTATATTTGTATACAGAAAGATGTGCCAATATTTCTAAAGTAGAAATATGGGTCCAAAGATGCTCCTCTACCTAGATAAACGGTAATGAAGTTTTATTTACGAAATTAAAAAAAAATATATCTACGGAGCGGGTAAAGATACTGAGTTTAGGTTTTAGACGTTCAGTGAGCACATCTTAAGCAATACACAGTTTCCTGGCCCAGACTAAACCAGCGACGCGGAAATTGGGGTACCTGGACCCCTAACAGGAAATATTTTTCACGTTACTGGTCTTTTCCGAGAAAAGAAGTGCATTTTATAAAACACCATTTTGTCTCTTAAGGAATTTCTGTCAGATCACTCGTTTTGGAGATATTCGTGTATGAATATTTGAGGCAAAATGAAAAATTACAAAACCAGTGGCGTGCACAGGAAAGGTTTAACGAGCTTCTACGCTACTGATCGAGGATAAGACACGCATGTTATCCAATTTCCAGCTTTCTTCACATGTCGTATAGTGTTTCCATTACCAAGCTTCACGGTATTTTCAGAATAGCGGAGGCTGAGCCTTTTCATAAGAATATTCAAATTTAAATATCTCCAAAACAGGTGATCTGACAAAAATTCCGTGAGTGACAAAATTTATGGAAAATATATACTAAGTGACATATAAATACGAACACCCAGTTTAAATGGTTTTATTTTAATAAAAGTTGGTGAATGTATTTATCTTACTGTAAATAACAAGTGAAAAAATTTTCAGCCTTATCAGTTGGACATTCCGGTTTTTATACTGCTTTTTTTTAATTCACTAACGCTCTAAAAATGAATATTCCAGCCGCAGTAATGAATCAACGTTGGCGGATTTTGGTTCTTGACATCCTTTACGATCGGTTACGATGCCTAGAGTACGGAGACCTGTACGATTTCGTCAACTTAGTGAGTTTGATAGGGGCCGTATAGTGGGACTTCGGGAAGCTGGACTTTCTTTTCGGGCAATTGCAGTTAGAGTGCAAAGAAGTGTAGACACTGTGGTTAGGTGTTGTCAGGCATGGCTTCGAGAAGGCCGTACGCAAAGAGCAAGATTCACTGGACGCCGCCGTAGAACAACAGACCGTGAAGATCGCCGCCTAAGATTATTGGCCTTAAGGGACCGTTTCTCCACTACCAGGTCCATTGCAAATGAATGGTTTGCAGAACACGGAAGACCTATTGGCATGCGAAGTGTTTACCGACGAATGAGAAGTTTTGGCTTGTTTTCATACCGGCCACACTGGGTCCTCCCTTTAACTCGAGAACACCGACGTAATCGCCTTGAGTGGTGCAGACAACGGTCACTCTGGGATCAGGAATGGAACAGTATTGTCTTGAGTGACGAGTCTCGATTTTGTTTAGGCATGCACGATGGTCGTGCCAGGGTTAGAAGGCGACGTGGTGAAAGGAGGAATCCACAGTTTTTTGTTGAAAGACATGTTCATCACACTGTTGGAGTTATGGTTTGGGGTGCTATAGCTTATGGTTCCAGGTCACCTTTAATCTTCATCAGAGGTAACATGAACGCGCAGCGTTATATACACGAAGTTCTAGAACCCCATCTTTTACCCTATCTTGACACCCTGGCAGATCCAACTTTCCAACAAGATAATGCCCGACCACATGTTGCAAGAGTCACAATAGACTTCTTTCAACATAATTATGTCACATTGTTACCATGGCCACCAAGATCTCCCGACTTATCCCCAATTGAGCACGTGTGGAATATGATGGGTAGGAGATTGCTCAATTTGCAACGTCCTCCTCAGACTCTAGAAGCACTTCGAGAGGAGTTGGTGGTTGCCTGGAATGAGATACCACAGGAAGACATTGACCACCTGATCAGAAGCATGCCTAGGCGCGTTGGAGAATGCGTAGCACATCAGGGTGCATCCACACATTATTAAAGGTCAAAGGGCTTTAAAGCAGTGTAATGATTTTGAAATTTTTATAATTTACTTATTATGCTTCATTAAGTACTTATACAAAATTCTATTAAAATAAAACCATTTAAACTGGATGTTCGGATTTATATGTCACTTAGTATATAAAATGCACTTATTTTCTCCGAAAAGGCCAGTGACGAAAAAAATATGTGTGTGTTTATTGCTGATGATGTGCGTACTGAACGTCTGAAATTCTAACTTAGTACCTTTAACTGCTCAGTAGACAATTTTTAAATTTCGTAAATTAAACTGTACCTGTCTCGGTAGGAGAGCATCTTTGCACCCATATTTATAGGAACTTTTATTTTATTTTTATATGTACCTGCTTTCCTAGAAATATTGGCACATCTTCCTGAAGCACCCTGAATACATTAGCACACCTGTACTATTTTTGATTATGGACGGTAAACTTACCCTTGAGCCTGTACATAGCAAAATCATCCCTTTTGGTAATAACATCGTATATGGAGGCTACAATCACCAATGAAAGAAGGGATGCTATGAAGAACCTATAAAAAATTAATTTATAAGTTTAAATAATGATTATTTATTACATTTACAGAAGCACCTGTTTATGTAATTCCTGAGATACACATTTGTTGTGCATCCTTTAGTTATCTTTCAGGCCTACCTATCCTATCCTGGCCATTAATTGAAATATGATAAATAAACGACCTGTCTGACGCTTCGGTTATCAAGGAAGCCTTTTTACTTCCCTCACCAACTGTGTGTAATCGGAAGAAATTTCCTCGAGTTGTCAAGTTTTTTTGATATTACGTGGCATTTATAACAAAAAACATGTTACTCACTTCCTTCTGTACGTCTACCTGTCTGTCTGTTGTATGTCTAGTAGTCATTGGACCCTTCTTAGCTCTGAAAGAACTCGTTTGCTTTTAATATTTTTTTTCAAGGGTTACCACCATGCCAATGATAAAAAGGATTTGTAAGTTTTGAATAACTGTTAAATGATGGCTGAGTTGTGAACAAAAACGAGAATTCAGATTCTTCTTCTTTTATATGGGATGCGTATGATTTTTTAACGCAGTCAAAAGTTGTATGGAGGGGTTACAATTTTTAGTAGTTATGATCATGTCGCTTTGTAAAAAGGTGTCGTGCCAGACAAAAGTCTGTTCAAAAATATATCTTCAACTTCCCGACTGTAAGACACTTAGCAAGGGCGTACCCAGCTCAAAACCTTGAACAAAATGTTGGTTGAAGTTCTTTTATATATCTTATAGTTATATTATACAGGGTGGCGTATCGAAAACGAAACAGACGCAGTTACTGGCAGCTCAGTTTTTTTTGGAAAAACGCTCAGACCCGTCGATTTTGTTTTCGAGGGGGACATAAGTTTGGCAAAAAAATTACGTTAACACGTGCAGCCCCCTGGGCGGGGGTGACACCAACCCTAAAAACTTAAATGGAAAGGGGGGTCGAGTGATACCTTATTTTAAAGGTCTTTCAATTCCCTTTATAACGATATAAAATACATGAGCTTCAGTTTAGTAGTTTTGGAGACTTATTGATTTAAAGCTTAAAGTAGACTTTAATAGGTACATCAGATTAGTTTGTACTACTTCCAGAAGAAATTTGACTAAAAGGATTTACTTGATAAGTAAATGCTTTTTTTCACTACGCCCATGGTTTGTTTATCATTTTGTTGTTGAAAATAGCTATTGGAGCGTTTTTTTTGTGACAAAAAAGTTATTTCTTGAGGAAAGATAAGAAAATATCTCGTACTTATTTTAAATAGGAATTTAGTACATAGTTTGCGATTGATTTGACCAAACTTTGTTGCCAATAAAAAACGCAACATTGAAAATCCCATAAGGAACGAAGCAATAGAAGTGAGGGTTTTAAGGCAAGTTTATGTAGATCCTACGTTAAGTACCCGCAAATTGGATACTGTGTGTGGTGTTAGTCGACGTACTGTCCAACGGATTCTAAAGGCCCATAGTTTTCATCCGTATAAAATTCACCTGGTACAAGAACTTAATGAAGACGATTTTGATCGGCGATTACAATTTTGTGAAGATATGAGTGAACGAATTATAAACGGTGAACATTTTCTATTCATCACTTGCTTTTTCGACAAATGTTTCTTTTTCTGGCGTAGTAAATCGTCATAGCTGCCGATATTGGTCCGATTCTAATCCCAGAATTTATCATGAGGTTCATACACAGCAGCCACAAAAATTAAATGTTTGGGCTGGTATTTTTGGCGATTATTTAGTTGGTCCTTTTTTCTTACCTGGAAATTTGACCGGTGAAATGTATTTGGAATTACTGGAAGACGCCATAGATCCTGCATTAACAGCCATAATTGAAAATCAGAATGATCGGAGGTACATGCGAATTGGTTGATGTACCAACAGGATGGTGCCCCACCACATTACGCATTACGTGTTCGACAATATTTAGATCAGACGTTTCCAGATCGATGGATTGGTAGAAGAGGTGCCATTAAATGGCGCCCAAGATCGCCAGATCTATCACCTTTGGATTTCTTTATGTGGGATCATTTAAAAAGCAAAATCTATGCTACTCAGCCAACATCATTAGAAGACCTGCGACAAAGAATTGTGAATGAGTGCCTTCAAATTACTCCTCAAATATTGCAAAATGTGCGGCAACGTTTTGAGCAAAATCTTTATTATTGCATAGAGAGTCATGGTGGCCATTTTCAACATTTACTTGCCTAACGGGTCAGTTCATTCTTCATTTTTAAATTACTTTGCTGCCAAATGTATTGATCTCCACTAATGATGATGTATTTGTTTTATTTAAGCTTTAAATCAATAAATCATCAAAACTACTGAACTGAAGTACATTAATTTTATATCATTATAAAGGGAATTGAAAGACCTTTAAAATAAGGTATCACTCGACCTCCCTTTCCATTTAAGATTTTGGGGGTGGTGTCACCCCCGCTTAGGGGGCTGCACGTGCCGACGTGATTTTTTGCCAAACTTGTGTGCCCCTCGAAAACAAAATCGACGGGTCTGAGCGTTTTTCCAAAAAAAAACTGAGCTGCCAGTAAATTCGTTTTCGATGCGCCACACTGTATATACCTACTTAACTATGCTTGATTTTATCTTTCTATTTGCATTTCATTGCTTTATCCCTTTATATAGAGTCTTCTACGATAATTTGACAATTCGTATGCATACGGAAAACTGCTAGGATTACTTTTATGAGACATTCAAGCAAATATTGCACGAGATGCTTTTCTAAGTAATAATTTTAGTTGTTTGGAATACTTGAAAGCAACACTTGAGATTATATATGACAAATGCTTGCTATACTGCAAATTTTATATACCTATTTTTTGGGCGTACATGTCTCTCAAAATGTAGAGATGTCAGGGCAGCACTGTGATCGCGAAAAAATTTCAAATAGAAGAATAATTTTCAGATATAACAATAGTATGTTCATTTTTGTGGCGTTCGCCAGGTAAGTCTTGGTCCTCTATTCCAGCTAGAAAAATATTTATAGTTTTTGTTAATTGGTCCTGTTGCGATAGAGTAACTGTTAAAAAAATCCAATGCAATAATAAGCCCTTCTATAACCTGAAAAGTAACATATATAGTGCTTTTAGGAAAATTAAGTTTAACATAGATTTAAACTAATCCTAGTGATTTTTAAAGTAATAGATACTGATCTAGCTTGTGGAGAACCCTGTATATGAATAATTTAATTTTTGTAAAAAATGTTCTCTAATTTTTGCAGAGCTTGGAAAAATGGAGGGGTAGCTGCCCTACTTGCCCCCTCCCCATGAGTACGCCCTTGGCACTTAGGCTCCACTATTGCGGCTGCTTCAGTATAAAAAATTATGCTCTCCTGATATTTATTGGCCAGGATAAAGCAGATAGATCACTGATTCATAACAGAAGCATTCTTGAATGAAAAATGTTCAACTCACAAGTAAATCTTATCTCCTCTCTCCAATACAGTGGCTTCATCAATCTGGCAGTGTCCTTTGTCGACTTCCACCTGAAGCTTGTAATTTGTTTTGTTCGTGAATTCCCTAACGAGTTGCTTCAGACTATACTGCAGATCTTCGTAGTTGCAAGAAGATGGCAGGCAGAAGGCGAAGTTCATTTCGTTCCTCGGATTCCGTTGACGGCTCCTGTAACTCTGTACTGAGTTATTTTTGTTTGCATTACTTCATCTTTTGTTGTACATTTTTGCAGATGCTCAACATTCCAATAAATCAAGATTATTGTAACAGCGTCAAAGATTTAAATCTTTTATTTTGTTCTTTAAAATTTCAATTTCAAATGTAATGAAAATGTTTTTCTAGTTAAATAAAATCTGTTAAATTTTAGTGTTCTGTTTGTTCTTCTATCCTCTAGCCATGCCATGGTCGACACACAGCTACACGCCTGTAGATGTCTTCATGCCACCGACTGAGCTACCGGAAGCTACCCCTTTCTGTGATTGTGCAGAAAAGTTGGAATCTTCATTGCATTCCATCTTTTCTGGACTTTTTGCGGAAAGGAAGCTTTACAAAACCTTTCCTTACTAAGTGATTTTGATATTTGAATGGATTGTTGGCGGTTGGATAGATAGTTTTCAATTAATGATCACATTTTCTCCCTAAAACCAACCGTTCAATGTATCTAACAATAATTTGTGGTTTACTGTATCGAAAGTTCTTTTAAGTCGACAGAAATGCAAATGGAAGGAGCTTTATTGTCCAAATTCTGATATATTTGGTTTACTATATCCAGTATTGCATGTGAAGTAGATTAATTACCATAATTACATGTACTTACAATTATTTTGTCCCAAACTGTGAAATTATAATAACTAACGTAGTCCCCATGTTCGTAGTCGAAAGAATTAACAGAACTACTGGCAGTTTCTTCGGAAGGAGGTACTATGATGAACTTTGCCATGCAGTACTGCCCGCTGAATCCGTTCTTGTCGTAGGGGACTTTAATCTCCAGACATTCGTCAAAGTTTCCGAAATCGTACGTTGCCCCATATAAAACTCCGCTTGGGAATTTTGTCGTAGCATCGAACACTGGAAAGAAATGTTGCTTGATTAGTCCAGTAAAGCAATGTTTTCGATTCAACAAGTTGCAGCCACATGTGCCAGGTGCATGTTGCGAAACAAACTTGCTGTAATGGAAACAAAAAGGATATATGGAAGCGTGGGTGCTTATACAGGGTGTTTAAAATTCGACCCTTATAAGTAGGTGTTATGTGCGTCATGTGACGTCATCGCTCACTCGCCCGGCCCACCACACGATTCTCCAAAAAATAAACTTCTGACTAGCGTAACTTTGTTATTTTTCAAGATATTAAAAAAAAAAATTTCAGCGCTGTACTTCATTTTACTTACTATCATTTTGAGTGTCTTTTGAAAAATAGGAAACTTCCTCATTCTAATTAATCTAGCTATTATCGGAGAAAAGCGGCAATGTGAACATGCAATTTATTTTGGGATCCCATCTCAAATGAAGTCGAGAAAGAAAAGTATTGAGAGTGTAGCCAAAACAATGCTTTTCTTAAAATAAAGGTTTGCCAACATCAATGTATAACTTATTGTACATTCTTTTAATCAGAATTGAAAACTATATTTATCTGTACAAATATCCAAGGTACCGCCTATAAGAAAAAATAAAGTTGACCCTGGAGGACAAGAGATGAAACATCATATTAAAATTTTCATTATGCCATCTCATAGAAGAGAAAAAGTGGCATGTTGATGTGCAGTTTGTTTTGAAATCCCACTACAAATAGAGACAGGAAAAAATTAAAGCAATTTTGGGAAAGCCGGTTTTTCCTGTCTGTCTCCGTTGGATCTTAAAACTTTATAAGCGACATTTTGTTGATTACTTAAGTACGCAACATTGCCTCCATTTAACCGACTTCGTTTCTCTTACAGTTTCCGAGTATAGTGATTGAAAAATGCTCTTTGAAAAAAATCAATCTTGAAATCCTTATTTCTTGGGTTCTCGTTTAAGCGGCTTGATGGATTTTGATATATAATGTGTCTCAAAAATTGTAACCTTGAAATTTCGATTTAACTGTTTACAGCTTAAGCAGCTCGATAAATTTTGACGTACGAAAAGTCTTTATATTTGTCTTGACAGTACAAGTCACACTGATTATTAGAGACTGGATTATATGCAACATAAAAAGTTTGAAATATGCATGAAAAATGGTTACAAATGCATGAAAGTATCAAAATTAAATGAATATAAAACAATGGTTTTTATACTTTTTATTTTAAAATCGGCTTACCAATAGTTAATAGTTAAGCACTTGAATGACTTATCTATGAGATCTGCAGGGACGGCTAGCCCTTAAGTTCTGCATCTGCAGAACTGCCAAAACTTTTGTCTTAACAGAAAAAAGCAATAGTAATTTGATCATTATTTATTTTCCATGTTATCACACAAATATAAACAATTCCGGCAACGCTGCCCCCGCAAGACACAGCGTCGAGTCTGTTTTGTTTTGAGAAAGCATTATTATCGACCAATTGTGTACTTGTCATTTTCGTCGCGACCGCAGCGTAACATTATTCGTGGGCCACTTGAAAAGGGTCTGTGCACTACTTCGACACAAGCCGCACGCGCTTGCAGTTGTCTCTCTCTACAATATCAAATGCGCGATTTAAGCATAACCATGTGCTGCAATTTATACAGATCCGTACAGATCTAATGCAAAGTACGATATCTGATTGCTCGGTATAAAATTTTGCGGAGCATTTGAATTGGCGCAACGGGGCCACGACGAAACCGAGACCTCCCAAAGCCCGGGAATATTTCGTGGACTGATTAATTTTTCTGCTGAGCTTGATACAACCTTAAGCGAACACATGAAAAAAGCTTCAATATTCAAAGGAACTTCGAAAGAAATACAAAACGATCTACTGGATTGTATTCTTGAAGTTTGTCATGAAGAAATAATAAAACAGATTAACAGAGCCTCGTATTTGGCGATAATAGCAGATGAAACAACGGACATTTCGGGGAAAATCCAACTGGTAACAATTTTCAGATACGTACTAAGTGACATATAAATCCGAACACCCAGTTTAAATGGTTTTATTTTAATAAAAGTTGGTGAATGTATTTATCTTACTGTAAAGAACAAGTGAAAAAATTTTCAGCCTTAACAGTTAGACATTACGGTTTTTATACTGCTTTTTTTATATCCACGAAGTTCTAGAACCCCATCTTTTACCCTATCTTGAAACCCTAACAGATCCAACTTTCCAACAAGATAATGCCCGACCACATGTTGCATGAGTCACAATAGACTTCTTTCAACATAATGATGTCACGTTGCTACCATGGCCACCAAGATCTCCCGACTTATCCCCAATTGAGCACGTGTGGGATATGATGGGGCAACGTCCTCCTCAGACTCTAGAAGCACTTCGAGAGGAGTTGGTGGTTGCCTGGAATGAGATACCACAGGAGGACATTGACCACCTGATCAGAAGCATGCCTAGGCGCGTTGGAGAATGCGTAGCACATCAGGGTGCATCCACACATTATTAAAGGTCAAAGGGCTTTAAAGCAGTGCAATCATTTTGAAATTTTTATCATTTACTAATTATGCTTCATTAAGTACTTATACAAAATTTTATTAAAATAAAACCATTTAAACTGGGTGTTCGGATTTATATGTCACTTAGTATATTTAACGGCGAACCAGTAGAACGTTTTTGGAATTATATGAATCCCGAAAAATGTGACGCTGATACTCTCACAAGACATATTTTGAGCGTCGTAGATCCATTAATAGAAAATTTCCCTAACAAACTGATTTCATAAAGCTATGATGGAGCCGCAGTAATGAGCGGACATAATGCTGGAGTACAGGCAAAAATTAAATAAAGATATCAATTTGCTCACTATGTGCATTGCTATGCGCATCAGTTAAACCTGATTATGTCCCAAGCTGCTTCCGCAAATGCTCAAGTTCGGGTGTTCTTTGGGGATTTGAAAGTTATTCCGGGATTTTTTAATAATTCTCCTCAACGCGTAGAGGTACTGAACAGAATTGTGGGGAAAAATATTCCCCAAGGAGCAACAACTCGTTGGAATTTTAATATTCGAACAATAAATGTAGTGTTTGAGAAATGAAACCGTTTGCAAGGCAGCTTGCGGTATTCGCCGTATGATAAACGATTCTGTTTTCGTGTTTTGGTAAACATTTTTTCATCATGTCATGCCTCACGTCTACATCTTGTTCAACCAGTTGCAGAAGAGAAAAACCGAGTCAGCGCAAGTTAAAATAGCTATCGATAATTTTGAAAAATGTATTGTCGATGTGAGAAATAACATTGATGACATAATAAATGAAGCCAAAAGTATTTGCACTGAACCCCAAGGCAACAAAAGGAGACGACGTAATAATAGCAGTCACGATCACCCAGTTGCCGCATTAGAAGTATGCGACAATAGGTATAGTGAATTCTGCAAATGACAGATTTCAATTCCAAGATCATTTGGTAGCCGCATCCCTTTTTTTCCCCGAACAGTTTGGAGAATACTGTGGTAAGTTTCCTGATGACAAGTTGGAAACTACCTGCTTGGCTTATCCCGAATTGGAAAAAAGTCGTTTAAAGACAGAGTTGTCTGTTATTTATGCACGGAATGATTGCCGAGATTTACATGGAACTCATCTTTTGAAATTTTTGATACAAAATAGTTTGGAGGAAACACTAAAAGATACAAAAAGGCTATTAGAAATTATTGTTACAACTCCTATGTCCATTGAAAAGGAATCTATTTCGACCATGGAAAATTTCAACGGGAAGGTGATCGACAAATTTGTTGCCAACAAGGAGCGCAGGATCGAACTGATATATAAAAAATGAGTAATTTCGGATTTGCAGAACACCTGTTTTATTTTGCCATGAACCGCAACTGGAGATCTGTAAGTGATTATTTAACATGTTGTTATTTTTGTAAACACAAACAATAATGTATTGTTCCAAACGTTCAGCAGTAAGAAAGTGCCTTCGATTACTCAAAATATTATTATACGTAGAAAAAGACCGCTCCACATCCACGGAGGTGACTGGACAGTATTTGAACCTGGGTGCTAAGCTAGCATTATTGTCTCTGGCAAGACGTCACCGATACCATCAATAAAGCTCTCAATTTGACATAGAGATTAAAAGCCTGGGTTATTGTTCAACATGCTTTCAAACTTATATTTAAACTTAGACGAGAATGCGTCTGGCAATGCGGAGTTCATTTGCCGAATTTTTTTCATTAATTGAATAGACTAAGTCAACGCCAAACATTGAGCTTCAGCCTCTTTGATACTGGCAGGTAAACAAGAGAGATTAGTGCTAATCATAGCTATGTTCTTCTTGATACTAGAGTCGTTCAATGCTTCCTGGCACTCACAAATTGTCTTAGCATCTGCACTGTCGAAATCATCTACTACACTTTTGATGTCTTCGAAATATTCTCTGTAAAACAGTACTACTTCAATCCACGTTCCCCATCCAGTTACCACTGATCCGGGAGGTAAAGGTACATTTGGCAGTTTTTCTCTGTAGGTTCTGATGCGAGCAGGTGCCTTTAGAAATACATTTTTTGTGGATGAAATCGTCTCGTCTCATCTACCAAAATTTTTATAGGTAAGCTTGTCGTCTGGCCAAAAAGCCCGAGATCAATAAATTTGTCTAGCTTCCATATAAAACTTAATTTATTATAGAGATAACATGACGAAAAGTTTGTAATTATAGCAAAAATATGCAAAGTCTCTAGATTTTTGTTGTAATATGCAAAGAACCAGCGAAAATAGTCTTAATATACTAAGTGACATATAAATCCGAACACCCAGTTTAAATGGTTTTATTGTAATAAAAGTTGGTGAATGTATTTATCTTACTGTAAATAACAAGTGAAAAAATTTTCAGCCTTATCAGTTGGACATTCCGGTTTTTATACTGCTTTTTTTTTAATTCACTAACGCTCTAAAAATGAATATTTCAGCCGCAGTAAAGAATCAACGTTGGCGGATTTTAGTTCTTGACATCCTTTACGATCGGTTACAATGCCTAGAGTACGGAGACCTGTACGATTTCGTCAACTTAGTGAGTTTGATAGGGGCCGTATAGTAGGACTTCGGGAAGCTGGACTTTCTTTTCGGACAATTGCAGTTAGAGTGCAAAGAAGTGTAGACACTGTGGTTAGGTGTTGTCAGGCATGGCTTCGAGAAGGCCGTATACAAAGAGCAAGGGGCACTGGACGCCGCCGTAGAACAACAGACCGTGAAGATCGCCGCCTAAGATTATTGGCCTTAAATCTCCACTACCAGGTCCATTGCAAATGAATGGTTTGCAGAACACGGAAGACCTATTGGCATGCGAAGTGTTTACCGACGAATGAGAAGTTTTGGCTTGTTTTCATACCGGCCACACTGGGTCCTCCCTTTAACTCGAGAACACCGACGTAATCGCCTTGAGTGGTACAGACAACGGTCACTCTGGGATCAGGAATAGAACAGTATTGTCTTTAGTGACGAGTCTCGATTTTGTTTAGGCATGCACGATGGTCGTGCCAGGGTTAGAAGGCGACGTGGTGAAAGGAGGAATCCACAGTTTTTTGTTGAAAGACATTTTCATGGGTGCTTGGGGTGCTATAGCTCATGGTTCCAGGTCACCTTTAATCTTCATCAGAGGTAACATGAAGGCGCAGCGTTATATCCACGAAGTTCTAGAACCCCATCTTTTACCCTATCTTGACACCCTGGCAGATCCAACTTTCCAACAAGATAATGCCCGACCACATGTTGCAAGAGTCACAATAGACTTCTTTCAACATAATGATGTCACATTGTTACCATGGCCACCAAGATCTCCCGACTTATCCCCAATTGAGCACGTGTGGGATATGATGGGTAGGAGATTGCTCAATTTGCAACGTCCTCCTCAGACTCTAGAAGCACTTCGAGAGGCGTTGGTGGTTGCCTGGAATGAGATACCACAGGAGGACATAGACCACCTGATCAGAAGCATGCCTAGGCGCGTTGGAGAATGCGTAGCACATCAGGGTGCAACCACACATTATTAAAGGTCAAAGGGCTTTAAAGCAGTGCAATCATTTTGAAATTTTTATCATTTACTTATTATGCTTCATTAAGTACTTATACAAAATTTTATTAAAATAAAACCATTTAAACTCGGTGTTCGGATTAATATGTCACTTAGTATATGTAAATGCATATGTTAATATGTGAATGAATATAATCGGGTCTCTACTGATTATACTAAGATTTTATAAAATAAAATTCCTGATTTCAAACGCAAACTTCAGCTTTGAGATTTTTATTTCACGGGCTGTAGTCCAAACAGCTTGATGGACTTTGAGATCTGAGGTGTCCTTAGATTCGTCTTGATGGCACAATTGAGGGGTTTGGAAGTAAAAATGTTCAAGTGCACTTTTTTAATTAAATGGTCTAAGTGCAGAATATCATACCTAAAGCATATCCTAACTTGGTGTTAAAATGATTTAAATGCAGGCAACGTTCCCTGGCGCCATCTCTCATAGTCTTTGAGAACATATCAAAATATCCACTAATACAGTATGTGGTAAAATGATTCAAGTTCACTGGAAAAAGTTATATGTATGTATGGAACGAAACTATCGCATCCAGGGGCTCACAGGATCATGTTTAATAAAATTTGTGCAAAGCCTTCCATCTACAGTTACGAAGACTATTGCATACAGTGATTCGTGTGGAGGACAAAATAAGAATAAAAACATTGCTAAATTACTCAGTTTTATTGTTCAAGCTGCAGATATATCTGAGATTCATCACAAGTTCCTTGAACCCGGCACACTTACATGGAATGTGACCGTAGTTTTGGCTTAATCGAGAAGAAAAAAAGGCAAATCCCTCAAGCTTTTGTCCCCGCAGATTGGGAGACTGTAATAAGAGGCACATCGGCCAAATTTATTGTGTACAATATGAACAAAGACCATTTTTACTCTTTTTCGCCGTTCAATAAAATTATGAACGATCGAACGATCGAAAAAAGTAGTGACGGTTACCCCTTAAAATGGAAAGAAATTTGCTGGTTTGCTTACTATAAAAGTGAAAGACTAACATTTCGATACAAGAGTACCCTAAGCATTGATGTAGAGTTTAGCAATAGCGACGTCAAAAGTTGGGCGTCCGTGTTTTAACTTTTCAATACTAAATCCTTAGAATGGCACTTCAACAAAGATTAAAGTCGCCAAGTACAAAAACTTGCTTAGCTTATTGGAATACATTCCAACCATTCACCATACATTTTATAAAAACATGAAGCACGATGGGAAAGCATTAACAAAAAAAGGAAAAAAGAAACAAACACAGACCCTGACATCAAGCCAAAAAGTACCTGATATAGATGAACCCCAACCGAGACCAGCTGATTCAGATGAAGAAAATGATGAAGACATCCAAATATTACATTCTGATTCTGAATAAGAAATTTTGTTATAGATTGTTTTTAAATAATGTTTGGTTTAGTACGGTAGTTGCACTTGAATCATGTTACCACCATAATTTTTGTAACATGTATAATGATTCAAGTACATTCTTGCAAAAATGACAATAAAAAAGCAAAATTAAGAAAATGTTTTTTGTTTGTGATGTTTTATTGGCAATATTAATTTTCAAATTCAAGTAAACTTTGAAGCCATTTATCTCAGAACTACTAAAAATGTACTTAAACCCTTTTACTTCCAGGCCCCTCAATTGATATTTCGTTCTTTTTAGTTACTGTATACGTAGTCGGATTGTATATATGCATAAATTAACAGTTCTTGGATTTTCTGAAAATCTACTCTCGCTCCTCCAGTGGTATCTTTTAGACAGAAGACTGTTTGTGGAATATGACTGTTTCACAATTAAGCTTCATACGTTAGAAGCTTGAATATGCTTCGCTTATCTGGACACATATTTATCAGAACTCTATCAGCAGACTGGAATATGTCCAACGCAGAGCTGTAAAATATAGGGTGTCCGCAAAGTTGGGGTTTTCCTTTACACGACGTGTAGATCTTGAAAACATAAGCAATTTTTCTTAGTACCATATACACCAATGTCTTAAAGGAACTGAGATAAAGGGCTCTGCAACATCAAAAATATCTGAATACCGTCCTGTAGCCGCGACCCGGGACATCACCGATTGGTACAAGGTCTCAACCCGAAGGCAGAACTGGGTCGGGGTCAGTGTGTCAGGTCAGTATGCAACCTTCAACCGACGGTTACGGTCACGCATGTAGAGGTAATCGCAAGTATCAAAAACTAAAGTGTGGCAAACGCTGCGTGAAGAGGGGCTGTATCCGTTTCACGTCCAACGTGTACAAGCCCTTCAACCAGACGATTTTCCAGCAAGAGTGCGGTTTTGTGAGTGGTTATTGCATCAACATGACAATAATCCGGACTTTTTGAAGTGCATATTGGTGACAGACGAATTTACGTTCACGCGTAATGGGGTGAATAACTTTCGCAACACTCATGTTTGGTCAGTAGAAAATCCGCACGCTGTCCGTCGGGCACATTTCTAACAAACATTTTCGGTGAATGTTTGGGCTGGCATGGTGAACGGTATGCTCATTGGACCATTTATTCTCCCAAATCGATTGGACGGGATGCAATACCCAGACTTTTTACGCAACATTTTGCCTTCCTTGTTAGAAGATGTGCCATTAAGTGTAAGACAATCAATGTGGTTTCTGCATCTGCTCGGTAGCGCTTCATCTGATTTCATTTTCTGTTGGAGCGGTATGATTTCGGGCAGAGACGTACTTAGCCCTTCTCGTCAACTGGAGAGTGAGTACTTTTTCCTTTATTTTTTTTTACTTGGTCGCCCTCGTTTCACTACACATTACCTTTGTTATTTCAAGGGTAGTTGTTTCTGAAAAGGAAAACCCCAACTTTGCGGACACCCTGTATTTTCTTCAAATGCAGCTGCTCCTATCCACAAAGAGGCTTCAACCAACTTTTTATATCAAATCCCTTGAAGTACGCTGCAACAATTCCACCTTGTTTTTTTTGTTCTGTTTTCTCCAACAATAAAATTTACCCTCCAGATAATATGAGTAAAATAGGTTTTAATGTTCCTCGCTTAGGTAACTGTTTTTTTTGCAACATTTTACTGTGATTTCTGCCATACCAATGTTTTATTCAAGTTTCCCGTTGGTAGGATGTGTACACTATTTAATAATATTAGTAACTGCGACATATGTTATTTAATGACCTTGATGAAGTTGTAAGCTAATATATTATTGCTGATTATTTACTTACATATTGTTATTATTATCTATGTATTTGTTTATTGTGCTATTTACTGATACTTCATGCAATTGGGTGTATCTGCCTGTTGGAAATAAACTTATTATTATTTAAAAGTGTACATGTCTCTTTCCCTATGGGTCTGAGCGTCTGAGAGAGGGGGCTTCACGTCTCCATAATTCAGATCTAGCAAACTAAATGTCTCGGATGCTTTGAAAACCGAAAAAAGACACACGACTTCTGAAGCGGAAGCCAGAGGTACTCTTACACTTAAGCAATCAGTCCTCAATATATTTTACTTTTGCTATACTGTATGGAAAAATAATAAAATAATTAATTGATATGGGCTGACGTGAAACTAACTCTTAAATAGAATTTGATTAAGTAACTAGGTATTCCACATTTAAGGCGGTTTCAAGCCATTTACAAGGGTTCAGCTGCTTCGAAACT